CTGGACAGGTAAACATCACCTGTTGGGTTTTATTCTAATGTTGGGATGTAATATCCAAGAAGAGTTGAACCGATGTCCAATACCTATTGGGTTTTCTTTCTTATGAAAAAAAAATTTGAATAACCCAAGAAGATTGTCCAATACCTTTTAGTTTATATACTATTGAAGAGATGAAGATATCCAAGAGGAATTGGACAGGTGTCCATTACCTGTTGGGTAGTATTCTGATGAGGGGATTCTCAAGAAACCCAAGAATCAGACAAGTGTCCATTGCCTGTTGGGTGGGATGTAGATATCCAAGAGGAGTTGGACGGATGTCCATTACCTGTTGGATGGTATTCTGATGAAACAATTCAAGAAACCCAAGAAGAATCAGACAAGTGTCCATTACCTGTTGGGTGAGATGTAGATATCCAAGAGGAGTTGGACAGGTGTCCATTACCTGTTGGGTGGTATTGTGATGAAACAATTCAAGAAACCCAAGAAGAATTGGACAAGTGTCCATTACCTGTTGGGTGGGATGTAGATATCCAAGAGGAGTTGGACAGGTGTCCATTACCTGTTGGGTTGTATTTTGATGATGAAATTCAAGAAACCCCAAAATTAGACAAGTGTCAATTGCCTGTTGGGTGGGATGTAGATATCCAAGAGGAGTTGGACGGATGTCCATTACCTGTTGGGTGGTATTGTGATGAAACAATTCAAGAAACCCAAGAAGAATTGGACAAGTGTCCATTACCTGTTGGGTGGGATGTAGATATCCAAGAGGAGTTGGACAGGTGTACATTACCTGTTGGGTGGTGTTTTGATGATGCAATTCAAGAAACCCAAGAATTAGACAAGTGTCTATAGCCTGTTTGGTGGGATGTAGACATCCAAGAGGAGTTGGACAGATGTCCATTACCTGTTGGGTGGTATTGTGATGAAACAATTCAAGAAACCCAAGAAGAATTGGACAAGTGTCCATTACCTGTTGGGTGGGATGGAGATATCCAAGAGGAGTTGGACAGGTGTCCATTACCTGTTGGGTTGCATTTTGATGAGGAGATTCAAGAAACCCAAATAGAATTGGACAATGTACACATGTTCAATTGCTCTTGGGTAGTTTTATCCCTTCGTCAAAATACAACCCAACAGGTATTGGACACATGTCCAATGCCTGTTGGATACCTTCATTCTGTCCAACATGTAATGGGTATTTGCTTATTATTAATTGGTCAATTATTAATTATTAATTGGTCATTGACTCAAAAAGTTTTCTCCTTAAATACTTAATTTTGTTATTCAAGAAAGGTTGAACAGAGCCTGGGATGTGTTGAGTTGTGTTTTCACAATTCAGTTTTTTTGCACTTAGGTATTCATATATTTAAATATTAAGTATTTTGAAACATACAGGTGTATATCCTTATTGCTAAGAACAAATTAGTTAGTTGTTACAATAAAAGAGCTATACCACAGAAATTGACAAAAATATGGGTTAAAAACCAAAGGTTTTCAGTCTTGTCTGAATTTACCAGCAAATATTAAATATATAATAAATTTGAAATGGATAAAAAAAAACAATAAGAAAAAACCCAATAAAATACGGACACGAGGATTAATATCCAATAAGATTTGAACAGTAACTACCCAAATAGTGCTCTCTCGTGTGTACACTTTTTTTGTATCCAATAAGCAGTATCCAATAGGACTTGGACTTGATGTACCCAATATATAACCAAATGTGTGTCTGTCCGACTGTACGTCCGTCCGTCCGTCCGTCTGTCGAGTTATGTCCAAGACACGATGTAGTTACGATATCGACACATTACTTTTTTATAGTTTACTATAATAGTTCTATATTCTCATGTGTTTATTACAATACTTTCTGTTTTAATACTGTTTCCTTACTGTTAATATCCTCGATATCGTGCCGATATCGAATCATGGTTGCTCCAAAAATTGTGGTTTTCATCCTTAATATGGTGTTTTTAAGAACTGTTACTTAAAAATTTCTTTATAAATCTTTCCCTGATGTGTCGATATCGTCGACATCGACGATATCGCTTCGATATCGAATCATGTTTGCTTAGCCCTTGGTAAATACCTTCCCTGTTTCTTTGAATGTGTTTATGTTTAAATACTTTACTTTAACGAAGATATTACCTGCCATCGATATCGTCGATATCGACGATATCGTATCGATATCGAATCATGATTGTTAAGAGCATATTACTTTACAAATCTTCACCCTAATACAAAAACTTTATTTTTACATCACTTCTGTGTTTAACAAGTTTACCTTACTGTCGATTTGCAAGATTGGTAAAGTAATATGCTCTTTCTTTGAATTCGCGGAAAGTCTGTCCGTCCGTCCGTCCGTCTGTTACGCTTTGGGGTACCCATCTCTTATCCGCAACTCCTCTCATACCACTGATTTATAAAATCTTATATAAGATCATGTATAATTATGTGTATTTGTTTTATGTATGATGACATGATACCAAATAAATACTACTACAATGTACTACTACCGTCACACAACCCCAATTGGGCCAATATCGTAAATGACCAACTGGTAACTAATAAATAAGCAAAAAAACCAATGGGGTCCTATCTTAAAAACTTTAAATAAAAAATAATAATACAATGTTCCATCAATAAAGCACTATGATAATTTTTGGCACAGCTATTTTAGCATTTTAAACATCTAAATTGAGTTAAAATATGATAACATTGACATTATCAATAAAATAATAAAATATATTTTATAAACTATTACTGAAACATAAAAATTAAAAGAAAACTTTGTCACAGTGCATTTTAAAGCTAGATATTATCTAAAACATAAAAAATGAATTATTTATATTTCACATAATTATTTTTTTTTTTTAATAAATCATCAATGATTATTTCCTTGATTTGAAAAAGAAAACACGTCTATATTAATTATCATTTCTTGTGCAATGGGACGTCGTATTTTTTATAACTCTCCGTTGAGTCCAACTTTTCTATCATTTGCTTTCCTTTATATTTGTTGTTCCGTTGTTTTATATGGCACGTCAAAATCACAAAAAATGAGCTAAACATGTATAGTTTCACAGTCGAGGTTTATCGATTGTAATTACTAAACTATATAGTTTGTGTACTATAAACTATAGTTAACAGCGTTAATCAATACTAGTATTTTACATCTGTAAACCATAGTGAACGCGATAATCTATGTTTCAGAACCGTAAACTTTACTGAAACACTGAAAACAATTTAACAATCGTTTAAAGGTACTTGGACACAGATTTGAAGTTAATATTTTTTGTATAATATCACGAATTATATATTTTGATAGCATTTCACACAAAAATTAATAAAAATCTTATTTCGTTTAAAAGTTATTAAAACTTTAAATTTTTTGGCGGGTTTGATTAACACATCCTTGCACGTTCACAAATTTTAACTTTATTCTTAATCCTTAGGAAAAGTGGCAATTTTTATGTGTTTTAATGAGAAATATTAAAACTTACAGAAAAATAATTTTATTTAGAGTAGAAATGTTAGAAAGCAAAACTCCTTCACAAGTGTCGTCATTCCGTTGTGTACAGAGTTTAGCAAATCGAGCACACTCGTGTTATGTACACAGTTTTTTTTTTTTGTAAACAGGGCACGAGCTCTGTTATTGTTTGATGTTTACGATTCACCGGGTGCGTTCAATCGCCAAAGTCTGCTCACCACAAATACATGAACTGACAATATATTGTGTGTTTGTTTTGCTTTCGAACATGTCTACTCTGAATAATCTGTATTATAGGATTAATATTTTTCATTAATACACAACACGATTGCCACTTTTCCTAAGGGTTAGGAATAAAGTTAAAATTTGTGAAAGTGCAAGGATGTGTCAATCGAACCCGCCGAAAACTTTGAAGTTTTAATAACTTTTAAAAGATTTTTAATTAATTTTTGTGTGAAATGCTATTAAAATGTATAAGTCATAATAATATAGAGAAAATATTAACTTCAAATCTGTGTCCAAGTACCTTTAAATATTATAGTTTTACAGATGAAAACTTTTTTGAAAAAATTTTGAAGAATAAGCGCTAGGACTTCATAATCAGACCTTCTTTTGGATACCAAGAGTTTGACTAACTATTTGTTAACTAAAGTTCACGGTTTGTAAATTACAGTTAACAGTCCACGTGAGTCGATAAACCTAGTCTATCAACTGTGAAACTATGTTTAGCTCATTTTTGTGAATTTGGCTTTCCATAGTTTTACGTCCCACTCGACTCTTGAGTATTTAATTTTCACATATTGTGGAGACGCGAGCACTTTCCGCTGCACATCGAGGCTATGTTACAACACAAAACACGAATTTTGAGAAAAAAATATAGTCTTTTTAAAAAATTGAGAGTGCATTGGTTTTGTCTCAAATTTGAGGCACTTTATAAGCATTTTCAAAGAGTGTTGATTTTATCCCAGTTTTAACGCACTCTGAAAAATGTTGTTTAACGTGCGTAATTTTCAAAAATTGCGTTGGCACAAGGCTATAGACCTCTATTCGCCACCTATGGCATTTGAGCAGTGAGATATTTTTTTTCACCAACACTCACTACAACACGGTACCTCGGTTTAGATTGGGATTCGAAACCAAGGATCGACTCCGAAACCAACGGGCGAATGGGAGGGGGTGGGAAACTACTACTAGTACGCAAAAGTTCCCCGACAACCCAATAACCCAAATAAAGAAAAAGTTGTAATATGTAGACAAATCCATAAAAAATGTTTTGTTTGTCGAACACTTATAATCGCAAAATTATGGTATAATGACATTTTATGTTCGCTTAAAATATGCTTTATGAATGTATTCAACAAACGCTGTTCCATGTATAAGATAAGATAAGATAATTTTATTTTCCAATTTTGGGCCCACAAGGCATAAAGGTTCTTTTTACAATGTATATGTACAATTAAACTAAATTTAGGAGACTCAAATACACCAAATGCAGTTAGTTTTCTTTCGGTAGAATTGGTATCGAATAGCCCAGGATGAAAGCTTATGGAAAGAATTAACATACAGGAATTTAGGATGTCGTTACTCTCGACATGACGTCAGCTGGAAATCGGAATTGAAACGACTGACTTACCATGCCCCCACCCATCTTCATCAAACGTGTGAGGGTCACGTGGATGAAATCTACTACGTCTGCTGTTCTAATAGCGGCAAATTCCTAGCTACCTGTGGAGCAGACGGTATTGTAAAGGTAAGTCAAACAAGAAGAAGAAGAAGAAAGCTACATGACTTCTTTGGCATGACGTGATTCGTATTCTACTCATGTGACTGTTGTAAATTAGTTGAATTTGATTCTTCGAGGAATATTTCTCAAATATTCAACTTTTTTTTTAACTTTTTTATCATTCAGTATAACATAATTCACAAATATTGCATGCAGTCAAGGGGTATTATAGTATTTGAAGTTTTTCGACCCTTCAAAAACCAATGTCAACGTAGGCTACAAAATGTTTTTCCTGGGGAAGGGGTGGGGGTAAAATTTACGACGTTACACTTAATTTTATAAATATTTTTAAATTGAAAATGATTTCTTGTTATTTACAAAGGTATGGAAATATGGTCCCAACACGGAGCTTTTACACTCCAGTCAAGTTGTGGATCCGCCGTCCTATGCCAACTACGTGGAGTTCAATGAAGCTGAAACGCATCTAATCGTGAACTGCATGATGAGGGAGGAGGGCGGATTACAAGTCGCACTGGCCGTGCTCGCCATTGAAAAAGGTAATTCTTGGTTCCCCACCTGTAGATTTTTACAGAACATGTCACGTACCTGTACATTTGTATGTGGGATATAACAATTTAGATTTGACATTATCTGTGTAGGACTTGCAGTGGTGGCGGCGAGACAATCTTGGTTCCCTAACTTTAGAGGAACTTGGCTGACTAACGACACTTTCCTTCTAGCCGATGTATTGGCGTACTTTTTCTCTAATGATAATGTGAAGTTAGTCGGTTGTAAGGTGAGTAGCATTTAATACAGGTACTTAATTACTGTTTCTATTTTAAGTTTAAATTAACATTCGGTTTCTTTCATTCAATCAGTTCTATGAGGAAGAATTGGAAAACCCGGAACTTTATGAGCGCCCTCTTTTAGAAAATCTCACGGATGACAATGTGGAATTATGGACTCTACTAGAAATGGTACGCGATGAGTATCGACCCCATTTAGTGAAGGTCATAGAGTGGTCCAAATGGAACCAAGATTCTCCAATCGAACGCGTGGAGACTTCCCGCCCAGGGGATAGGGTGGTGATTATTTACCAACAAAGTCTGGAGTGGGACATCGTACACAGACTGGTGTTCTATAAAGTGGACATAGACTGTGAGACCCCCAGTGTTACAGAACCGATCAAAATAATCATGATCAACAGCGGGTGTCTGGGAGTCAATCTCTCGGCGGATCACAGGTAAGGAATGAGTGGTGACCATTCAATTTGACGGGGGGTGTTCGGAGTGATATTTTATGTTTATTACAAAATTACTAATACAGTTTTACTAAGTATACTACTTGTTATTCCAATGCATACAGGTACGTCGTGTACAACTTAAGAAGGGTGTGTATAGACGGCGATAACAGCTGGTACGAAAAAGATGTCGACACAATGGTGATCAATTTAGCAAATATTGGAGAAAAACCGGAGGTGTTTGAAGGAAACAAGTCTTTAGAACAGTCAGCAACAATATTTTACTTCTTCCCTAGCATTTCTTCTGATTTCCTTGCAAGGTATCTATCATTTCTTATTTTTAAACAATCTTTAAAATATCCAATGTCTTATTTCCGTATTACAGTGTATTTTTATTTGTTTCTTTTGTCCAAAAAGCGGATCTGAACAAGACGTTGCTTTTCTTTGGGATCGTCATTCGAAACACGTGATCGCTACATTACCTCACACACTTCCGGATCCGAAGAATGGAGTGAGTGCCGTTGCCTTCCATCCACGTGACCCGGAAGTCTTAATTAGTGTAGCAGATGATTGTAGAATTAGGATATGGATGTCCAAAAACAGGGAAAGACAATTTAAACAGCAGAGTGATATACCAGACTGTGATTATACCTTACAAAGTGATGTTTAATGTAAGCCATAAACTCAAACTCGTTCTGCTTGATATCACAACGTCAGGCGTTTTTAATGTAGTTCTTGTATACTTACTGCCAATAAATTATGGAATTAAAATTTAAGTTTTGACTATGAGTTAATGTGGTTTCTTCCTCCGTATTCCTGACGTCAATGGTGGAAATAAATATCGAAATACTTAGTACTATAGTGGAAAATGCGGGTTCGCTTACCGGTTGCATCAATCCAAAAGGACCACACGATTTGGAAATGATAAAACCACAGGCAACTGAATTTTTACCAATCAGACGCTCAATAAGACAAATATCGAAAACGTCTACCCTCTCTATATAAAATGAAATAGCCTTCGGTGATTCTTGAGAAAAAAGATTTTTTTCTATGTATTTGAATGTACACTTTGATACCCTATCGTTGGCCCCACGCAAGATTTGAATAATTTAGAATCTGCACTACCTCAAAATGCGTCTACAAAATATTCAATTCTCTGTTCCAATAGTTCTTGAGCACACCAGATAGTGTTTTTACATTTTTTTTGCCCATTTTTGTTCCCCGCTGAAAGTGGAGGATAATGATTTTGGTCTGTCTGTCCATCTGTTTGTAGCTCTGTCTGTCTGTAACACTTTCGTTTCCACGCGATATCTTGAGAAGACTTTAATTTGTGACATGAAATTATACATGAACTCCCCATGGCATAAGAACGACCCTATGGATTTTGAGGTCAAAAGTTAAGGTCACAAATTCAAAACTTCTGTTTAAGTACTTTCGATTCCGCGCGATTAGGGGCCTTTGAGCTTTTGCAATGACATTTTATACAACAACTCCTTATTGCTTAGGGTCAAACCCAACGACCAATGGTTTGAGACCAGGGAAGCGGTTATGACAGAAATAATCGAAAATAAATGCGTGCAAGTCCAAATGTTTCGGGAAAATTTAAGATCGGTAAAGAAGGACATTATATTCGCCGAATCAACCTACAATGACATATGGGGCACTGGTTTGGATAAAAAAGGTACGGAGAACACCAAAATTGATTCCTGGCCTGGAAAAAACCTACTTGGGAAAATTATCAGTAAAATCGGCAAAAAAATACGGAAACGAAAAAAAAGTGACCAGTGGAGCAAACCAAAACAAAAACCGAAAGTTAACACCAAACAACGGGACATTGCACAGATGTTACATGCTTTAAGGAATCAATCGGATTCTGAATCCATGTCAGGTTTTGATGAATCATCGGACTCTGATTCAGACGACCCGGCTAAGAAGGACAAATAAATCAAAAACTGTGTAATGCTCGAACGCTACAGGACTTTGATTCTCGATCAGCGGACTGGAATGAAATGTTACGGTATTTTTTTCTATATCAAATATATGCATTTTAAGATTAATTCGTATGGAAAAGTTAGAATTTATCTCAGTTAATGTAAGGGGTTTAAATACCCCCGAAAAAAGACAAAAAATTTTTACATGGTTGAAAGAATGTAACATAGATATCATTCTGTTGCAAGAAACACATTGTTTAGAAAAAAATGAATCTGTATATAATTTAAACTGGAGAGGAAAAACATTTCACGCATATAGCGACTCTGCATTCAGTAGAGGCGTGTCTGTTCTATTTAACGAAAAAATAGATGTAAACATAATAAATGTCAAAAAGTCTATTTATGGTAGGAAAATTCTGATAAATCTTGAAGTCGAGGGTAATATTTTTACAATAGTAAATATATATGCACCTAATGAAATTAAGAAGAGGTGTGAATTTTTCAAAAAACTTAAGAACTTTATTTCAAAAAGTTGTGTCAACGAAAATATTACACTATGTGGAGATTTTAACTGCCAGATAAACAATATTAATAATGTAGATAAAAGTGTAAATTATTTCAAAGATTTGATAAGGCATTATAACATGGATGATATTTGGAAAAAACAAAATCCAGGTATGTCAGGTTTCACTTGGTGTGATGCAAAAAATGATCCTAAAAGTCGAATAGATTATGTTTTTATAAATGATTCTTTTTATTATAGCATAGCAGATATTAAGGTTAGAAAAATTCCAGGCACCCATTCAAACGGGAGTCGAATGAGTGACCATAGATACTTAAAATTTAGTTTTGATATCGATAAAACGAAAAAAGGTCCCGGATACTGGAAACTTAACGTTTCCTATCTCGATAATGAAAAATATAAAAAATGTATTTTAGACATTATTTATAATATAGATTCCTCTTTAAGCCCTATAATGACATGGGAGTTAATTAAACGAAAGGTTAAAGATTTCTCTATTTATTTTGCAAAAAATGAACAAAAATCAATTAAACAAAAGATAAGAGCAATAGAACGCGAAATAGAAGATATGGAGGAAGGAAATGTAGAAAATTTTGATTACAAAAGACTGAAAACTTTAGAAGCGGAAGTTGACGCTATTTACGACAAAAAATCTAAAGGTGCGCAGATAAGATCTAAAATTAAATGGATAGAGGAGGGGGAAAAAAATTCAAATTTTTTTTTAAATTTAGAAAAGCGCAATCAATCATCAAACGTAATTAAAGAAATAAAAACAAGAGAAGGTAACAAAATCAGTAAAACTAATGCTATTTTAGGTGAAATGCATTCTTTCTATAGTGAACTATATACGAGTAAAGACATTTCAAACGAAAAAATAGAAAAATATTTATCTGAGATAGACGATATCCCTAAATTAAATGAAGAAGATAAGATACTGTTAGAAAAATTTCCAACATATGAAGAGTGTAAGGAAGCTGTTGATAGCATGAAAAAAGAAAAATCACCTGGACTAGATGGACTTCCTAGTGAATTTTATCAATGTTTTTGGGAAAAACTTGGGCCCTTCTTTTATAAAGCACTTAATGATATTTTTGATAAAGGTGAATTGTCTTACACACAGAAACTTTCTATTATATCACTAATTTACAAAAAGGGTGAAAAAGATAATTTAAAAAACTATAGACCGATAAGTTTAACAAACACAGATTATAAAATCATTGCCTTTGTCTTTGAAAAAAGATTACAAAATATACTATATAAGTTGATTAACGAAAATCAAACTGCATACATAAAAGGGAGATATATCGGTGAAAATGCTAGATTAGTCCTTGACGTTTTTGAATACTGTGAAAGAGAAAATTCAGATGATATTTTACTTTTCTTAGACTTTGAAAAAGCCTTCGACTCGGTTGAATGGAATTTTCTTTTCCAAGTCTTACAAAAATTTAATATTGGCAATAGTTTTATAAAGTGGGCAAAAATTTTATATACAAATCCAATGTTTAAAATGAAAAACAACGGCTGGCTTTCTAAAACCAGCGAAATGACGCGAGGAATTAGGCAAGGCTGTCCTATTTCCGCTCTCTTGTACCTATTCGTAGCAGAAAGTTTGGCTATTAAAATAAAATGTGATACTGATATAAAAGGCATTACAATTAATAACCATGAAATTAAAACCATCCAGCATGCAGACGATTTGACTGTAGCTTTAAAAGACGAAATATCAATAAAGCGAACTCTGGATAAATTACAAGAATTTTGTGAACATGCAGGATCAAAAGTAAACATGCATAAGACAGAATGCATTTTACTAGGGGAACTAAAAAATTTATATGATGAACTCTACGGTATAAAAATTACAAATAAAGCAGTAAGATGCTTGGGAATATTCATAGGGCATGATAAGGAAGAATGTTACACTAAAAACTGGATGAAAATTTATCACGATATTGAAAAACTTTTTGAATCCTGGAAAAGAAGAAAACTAACGTTATTTGGTAAATCATGTATAGTTAAGACACTTGCTATATCTAAACTTACATATGTTGCCTCAATACTTAGTCTTCCTGATATTGCTTACATTAAAAAAATACAGCGTCTAATTTATAACTTCATTTGGGATAAAAATGAACGAATTAAAAGAAACACGCTTATAGGTAGAATTTCAAAAGGTGGCCTCTCAATTGTTGATATTGAATGTAAATTAAAAGCTTTAAAAGCAGCTTGGGTACCTAGATTGTTAAAAAGCAAAGGTATTTTGTACAACATTTTTGATGGCTATTGTAAAAAATCAAATTTTGATGTTCTTTATGTGTTAGATTTTTCTGATAGAAAAATAGAAAATATTGAAAAATTAGAGAAACTACCTATTTTTTATCAACAAATGTTATGTTGCTTTAATGAATGTAAGCCCTGTTTTTTGAACAAAATGTCTTCCGATAATGTTCTTCGACAGCCGATATGGAACAATTGTAACTTTGTTTATAGGGGAAATACATTATTTTTTAAAAACTGGATAGCCAGTGGGATTTTGCATGTTAAAGACTTATTTGACGATGATGGTAATTTTAAATCATTGTTAGATTTTTCTAATTATATAAAAAACAAGTCAAACTGGTTGTGTGAATTTAAAATTCTTACTTCTGTTTTCAAACCTTTGCTACTAAAGTATGATTTTTCAAATTGTAAGTTTGTTAACATAAGATACAGAAATTATTTTCTTTTCTACACAGGATATGTTAATATCATAGATCAAAGATGTAACTTTTTCTATGACAATCTTGTACACAGAAAATTTTGTAAACCATTTTATCAAATAGTTTTAAGCAAAGAATTCAGTGTTGAACCCTCAGAATGGAAAAATATATATCAATGTAAATTATATGACATACCCGATAAACAACTTACAGAATTCAACTATAAACTTTTAAACAATATTCTTTGTAATAACTTCTATCTCAGTAAATGGAAAAAAAGACACGAGTAGTCATTGCAAATTATGCCACGTGAATGAAACTTCAAAACATCTCATTTTTGAATGTAAAAATGTTATTGAAATATGGAACAGATTAAGTTTGTACCTGAAAATAGATATCAAATGGAAACATGTAATAATTGGATTTAGCTCTGAGCGCAATAGAAAAATTGTATCACTCAACGCACTCATCTCTTATGTTGCCTATAGAATTTACAAATATAAGATGTACTGTCGACTAAATTCCTTAGATGAAACTAGTTATAACATCTTCAATCACGTTAAATCTTCAATTTTTTTTCTATGCTTCCATTCTGAAAAATTTGAAATCACTTGACTACAAACTTTTTAAAAATAACTCCTTATTGCAGTTGTAACATGTGTCCAGCCGAGTGGTCTCAATATTCAAGTGGACACGTACTCGGTTACATCCAGGATTTCTGCAGTGAAATAACCTAAACAAATGATCTGTATCTTGTCCACTAGGACACAAACTTAATCAATATATTTACGATGAATATTTAAACAATTTACTTAATATATTTACTACGATTCGCAGAACAAAATCAAGGGACAATTTGACTTCGGACCACTTGTCTCACCCCTAACCAATGTCCCGGACAACTGGCCCAACCAAGGGTCCAGGTTACTAAACCAAAGGTCTCTAGTCAACTGGCGTCTCCAGTTCACTTTGACACTAGGGTACAGACTTATTCAGCCTTTACTTCTAATGCCAAAGCTACAGTGCTCTTAGAAGGAGGTTTGTTTCTTCACTCGGGGATGCTTTGTATCAACTTTGGTTAAAATTAAACTAGGATTTCTTGAGAAAAAAGTTAAAAATGTAAAGTTTACTGATGGATGAACAGACATATAGACTGAGGCTGGAGAAAGGGTGTGGGGCTAAAAAAGGAAACCAACAGAAAAGTAAACAATGCAATATGTATTGATATTGTATATATCATTGAACTTAATAATACAAAAAAATTAATTTATTGTGAAAATAGATGACTTAAATAAGCAGAACCTTAAATACACACAACAATAAATAAGTACAAAAGTTTGAGCTTTAAACTACAAGCTTAATCCTGACTTGCAGCTAAAATAAAATTAAAGTTCTACCTCACAGAAAATAGTGAATCTAAAACATTTAAAACGTGACTAAAGCAATGAATATCACAGACGTTATATTCAACAATAAATAGCATAACAAGAGCAGCACCATAAAACAATTATCGTTGTTCTCTTAACAACATTAGGTCATATACAGTGTAAAATTATATTCCACATTCTCTTTCTTTCTCTGGTGATATTGTTAGAAAAATTATTCCAATACAGGAATTAAACAATGGAAGAGAACTTAAAAGATGGAAGAGAATTAGTATCATAAAATATATCTTACATATACATAAATTATTTGTGCTTTTTAATTAGTTGTATTCTTCAGAAAACCATGTATATGCAAATCTCATAACCCATGTATATATGTTTGAGAAATAGTCTTTTTTCATTTCATTATTGCACAAAATAAATTACAGTGAAGTCATATCTTCTACAGAGGTAAAATTGGATGTTTTAAGGTACAAAGAGACATTATTCATCCCCTTCAACAAAATGTAAAATACTTGTATGAAAACTCAGTAGTTCCTCAATAACCAAAACCATTCTCATTGAACCAGTATGTTTTCCTCAAAGCAGTAAAATTTATCTTAATAAAAATTGATTTTACAATATACACATACATCTACATGTATATTTGAGTAAACATAGCTAAATATTAACTACATGTAAGAAAGACTCCTGGCACAGAAGAAAAGCAAAAAAAAAAAAAAAAAAACAGTTTACATCTCTTGTAGAAACTTGTCAAACAGCATTACACTGTTATGATAGCAATCATTATCTCTTCGTCTTCATCATTTGTGTTGTTCTCACAATTGAGTTTTACTTCTTTTGAGATTTTCCAAAAATTCCTTTCTTTGCGGGTTTTTCCTGACCGGCCTGTAAAAAATGAAAAGATATCAGAGCTGACAGGGAATGATTTTTCTCTGATATAATGTATTTCAATGGATTCCAAAGGTACCTGATTCCAAAAGAATCTATTTCCCAAGAAATCTTTAGACATTTTTCTCATGTGTATATTAAAAAGAAAAACTATGTTCATTTTTATATCATCTATAAAGCAAAGGAAACTATCCAGATATTTTACATCTGTATTTCTCACAAAAATTGTCCATAAATCATTTTACTAAAAAAAATATTCATTTTATTCATACACTGCATCATAGTAAATTAGTCTTAGAATTTTAAGATAGACAATTACAGTTAATTCTCGTTAAACCGCCACCTTTTGTAATTTAGAAATCATGGCGGTATAACGAATTTGGCGATGAATTGAATTTCCCATCTTTTAGGAAACAAGAAGTAAAGTTATCGTTCTTAGAAATACCATTAAGCATTTCTTTTCTTATTACCGGTATTACATGTACATTTATATAAAAACATATTTCTAAATTTGAAAATACTTCTAGTAATTTTTTTATGTACAATTTCACTAAAACAAAATATGCAGTTATGAAATAAAAGATAAGTACATGTGAATGCATTAAATCTGCACGTCTGATATTGAAGAAAAAAAACATGCTGGTTCGATCGTCGTGATATATTGCGGATAGTACTTAAAATGAATTTTCAATAAATTCATTGTTTATGGCATCATAGTTAATGAAACGTTCACAATTTCTACCATATAATTATTTTTTAAGCAAACTTTGCATTGTTTAAAGCAGAGATCATCAAAGTAATATCGTTACTGGTGAACTTTAACAACAACCGCTTTCGTGGCGAAGCCCTGACTAAATGATTTTTATTAAACAGGAAACGAAATCATTATAACAGTTCAAGTTAAAATTATTGTTTATTTAATTTTTATTTAATTATGTAATTGCATGTACCTCGTCCGGCTTTGCATGCTTTACAACAGTGATAGTGTCAACCAATTAGCCACTTCACTGACCACATACAACTTGTGGCAGTATATCGAGATAATTGAGACTAAGAAATGGACATTTGTTGTGAAAACAGGGCGGCAGATGGTGGTATGTGAATTTGGCATTATAAAGAGAATTTTATATAGCAGGAAAAGCGTTCTTGGAAAATCATGGTGGTATTGCGAAAATGGCGATGAATCGAATGGCGATAATTCGAGAATTGACTGTACTCAAGTATACACTATATGAAAGGAAACAGCCAAAAACATAGTACTTCTATAAGTACTTATTATAGGAAAGTCTTTTTTCTTTGGAATGCCTTACCAGGCTCTAGGGCCATAAAACCTACTTATGATCTCCGTCTCACTATTACCAAAGGAAGTTAAAGCAAACAAGAGGCCCATGGGCCACATCGCTCACCTGAGAAGCTTTGACCATTCTGTTCTTTACCAGATTTCCCCCTTGTAATACATAATGCATCCCCACCCTACCCCACTGATCATAATTTAGACATTTTGAAATTTACACTACCCCATGATTCTTCCATGTGCACATAAGTTTCAGCTTTTCTGGCCCAGTGGTTCTTGAAAAGAAGATTTTCAAAGATTTTTCCTATGTATTTCTATGTAAAACTTTGATTCCCCATTGTGGCCCCGCCCTTCCTTCGGGGATCATGATTTGAACAATTTAGAATCTACACTATACCAGGATGCTTCCACATAAGTTTCAGCTTTTCTGGCCCAGTGGTTCTTGAGAAGAAGATTTTCAAAGATTTTTCCTATATATTTCTATGTAAAACTTTGATTTCCCATTGTGGCCCCACCCTTCCCCCGGGGGTCATGATTTGAACAATTTAGAATCTACACTACCCTAGGATGCTTCCACATAAGTTTCAGCTTTCCTGGCCCAGTGGTTCTTGAGAAGAAGATTTTCAAAGATTTTTCCTATACCGGTATATTTCTATGTAAAACTTTGATTCCCCATTGTGGCCCTGCCCTTCCCCCGGGGGTCAAGATTTGAACAATTTAGAATTTACACTACCCCAGGATGCTTCCACATAAGTTTCAGTTTTCTGGCCCGGTGGTTCTTGAGAAGAAGATTTTTTAATGACCCCACCCTATTTTTGTCTTTTCTTGATTATCTCCCCTTGTGAGGGGACTTGGCCCTTTATTTTAACAATTTAAATTCCCCTTCACCCAAGGATACTTTGTACCAAGTTTGGTTGAAATTGGCCCAGTGGTTCTTGAGAAGAAGTCGAAAATGTGAAAAGTTTACAGACGGACAGACAGACGGACGACGGACAAAACGTGATCAGAAAAGCTCACTTGAGCCTTCGGCTCAGGTGAGCTAAAAAGCTAAGACCAAGATCAAGAGTGAGCTAATTGAAGTTTATGGTCCCAGAGCCAGAAATTTAACACCAAGCGACATTTGATCTTGACACTTACCAGGACTTTGGCCTTGTCACTGGCACCAAGCAACATTTGGCCTTGACATTTACCAGGCATTGGCCTTGTCACTGGCACCAAGCAACATTTGGCCTTGACATTTACCAGGCATTGGCCTTGTCACTGGCACCAAGCAATATTTGGCCTTGACATTTACCAGGACTTTGGCCTTGTCACTAGCACCAAGCAACATTTGATCTTGACACTTACCAGGTGTTTGGCCTTGACACTGGCACCAAGCAACATTTGGTCTTGACACTTACCAGGACTTTGGCACCAAGTAGCATTTTCATTTTGTTCTCCTCTTGTTGAACATCATTAAGTGGAGTCTCCTCATCAGCCCTGGACTTCATGTGTAGCTTTTGTTTGATAGCCTACAAACAGGACATCAAATATGTGTTAATACACAATCTATGAAAGGATTGATTTAGTATGAATCAGGGGTCAGTCAACAGTTACAAGATTTCAAAAGATCGTTTTATCTCCAGCTTAAAAAAAATTATAAAATGTTAAATTCTCAAACATATGTACAAGGAAATTCATCTTTACAATGGCAAATATAAGCTGTTTAATCAGTAAGAGTGACTTTTGCTCTTTACGTTACCTAAGATATAAAAACATGAGAATTTAAGGAGGACGAACCTGAGACAAAATGACCCTCTTGGTGTCACCCCGGATGGCCATCAGGAGATCAAACCAGGTCCAGATCTGATTGTGGTACTCCATGGTGGGTAGGACGATGCTGAAGTCATGGATGTCTGCTATATTCTTCTCCTTCTCACCCTGAAGATTTTAGATATTAGTTAACTCATTGGGCATTATCACTACAAGTCAATTTATAAGAAATGAGTCCAAAGTAACATTGTCTATACCTTGTAGCTCACACGGAGAGAAACTTCTGGGATTTTAACGTACACAAAGGTGTTGTTATTTGAAGCTCTTTCCTGTAAGAATTATGAAGTATAGAGTAAATCTCAAGTTTGCACAACACTAGTTTGTTTATTCCATACATATCATGAGTTTAATTTCATGTAAACACTTGCCTTCATTTTGTCGATTTCTGCAAAGTTATGAGCTGAGGAGCTTCGTTTGACGCTGTCTCTCTTTATGGAGGGTCGCTTCTCCACTTTCTTTTTCACGGGGGCCTTCTCTGTCTCTCCATCTTATCAAATAGTGTATATATTATTATATAAAGATTTAATAGCATTTTCTTCATTCTACATTTCAATAAAGTGCCGCGCCACAGCATGATAAGCCCGTCAAAAAAATACAATTTTCTTGAACATTTTAGTGTGCAAGAATATCACGTCAACCTTGATTCCAAGATTTCCATGATTTTTCCATTCCTTCAAATATTTATCCATTTCCTGTTATCTAGGCATTAATTATAATAAATATTTCATCATTAATAGATTTCTATGCTGGTTGTGTTAGACCTTGTCTAATGCCCATCATATTAAACAATATCAAATTAGTCTTAACATCTTAATCTATACCAAATTAATTTTGAAAAGAAAAGTCCTGGCCATCAAATGACATGCTATAAACTGACCAGCACTTCTTTTGTCTAATCCCCAAAGGATACAGATAAGCCGCTTGATCAGCTAGCCTTCCTACATTGAACTCATTAATTAATCTTTAACTGGATGCTTGTCTACTCATAACTACAAAGAGATGAATGGGTCTGCACTATCTACCATAAATTTTTTCTAAACATATAAAATATTCAACGATTTTTTTTGGTTGAGATTTAATGTCCGACAGGTTTTAATATGTAATTCATATGGAAATGCTGATTCCACCCCACCCCTTAAAATTAGTTTTTAAATTAATAATATTATATAATATCAGATTAGTCTATTATGCAATATCAAATTAGTTTTAATTACTTTTCATCAAATTCATTTTAAAACTTTGGCTAGCCAACAAGAGCTATTTTTAATCCAAGGGGCTTACCCATCTGCCCAATACCCAAGGGATGTAGATAACACTGATGTTCTATCAGTTAGATCCTCACACTCAAAACTCATTAATTTCTCTCTAATTTGACATGAAATTTTCTGTTATCAAAATTCTTCTTGACCAGTGCTTGATAATTACACTCAAGGGAGAGGTAGGATTTCTCTAACATACATTGTATTTGTTATAAATTGCTGTCAAGTATATGCTTAAAAAAATAAGTATTTTCTTGATTTAACACTTTTTTAATAAGAAGAGAGCAATACTCTTACATTATTTGGGATGCTTCAATGAATAGTAAAAAGACACATTTTTTTTTTTTTTAATTTCACTTAGATTAAAGGTCACAGTGACCTTGAAATAGGTCGCGACACTTTCTACCTAAGATGCATAAACTGCCCAAGTTTGATGATTGTTAGTCTTATAGTTTTCTAGTTATGGGCCGGAAAGGATTTTTCCATATTTGGCTATAACTTCTTAATAAAAGGTCAGAGCGACCTACTTTTTGTGCGCAACACACCTTCTACCCAAGATGCATCAGATGACAAAGTTTGATAATCCTAGGCCTAATAGTATTAAAGTTATGAGCCGGAAACGAAAAAGCTAACAGACAGACGGACGGACACGAAGCCTATAACATAATACGTCCCGTCTTAAGACGGCGTATAAAAAAATGATGTCAGAAGAGAGTACATTTTGAACCAATTTACACAGGTATACATTCCAGACCCTCCAAATAAAACAGTAATAATTAAATATTTTTCTAACCTGGATACAAGTTTTAGAAACATTCAACATCGACATTCAGAACATGCTGATATAAGACACGACAAATTTTAAAATAATCATGTGCCTCATCTCTATCTCACCCGGGCCTTCTGTTTCAATGTTTTTATCAGGGAAGAAGAATTCCATGACTGTCTTGTAGAACTGGTAAGTCATCTGAATCTGTAGGGGGACGACATTCACCTCAAAGTGCTCCTTCACAGCAATCCCTCCAACTAAAAGGTAAGTTTTAAAATTATTCATCAGTGGCATTAAAAGCACATTTACGAAAATATTGATAGTGAGATAAAAAATTATGTATAAATTTTTGATGATTGAATTTGTTAACTTATTACGAAGGTAATCATAAAGGTTTTGAAAATTCACACGTTTGTTTACGACGATTTTGTTTAGCTATCACTCACCAGGGGGTCTCTCACTACATATGATTCGGAGCGCCATCTGTCTGAGATCATTCTCTTTACCCAGTACAAGGGGGACCAAGACATCCTATGTAAAATGAAATGTTTTTTTAAAAATAAAATATAAAGACAAATTACTCAGCTCAAATGTGTTTTTATGGATCAACACGATAAACTATGTGGAATCATCACAGTGGTTCTTTAAGGAGCAGAGTACTTGGATCACTCTTAATCAGGGATTAACATCCCCTTGAACGATAACTTTGTCAATATTTTGGTTATTCATGAACATTGACCCCCCACATTAAAATGATTAAACAGTAAATTAAATTTGCAATGTCTGTACAATATTGATCTGATTCTCTGACCTTGTAGATAGTGTTTGGTAGTAGGTTGGTCATCTTGACCCAGCCCAGTTCCAGCTGGTGAGTCCACGTGTCATTATCTCTGTTAACTTTAGTGTATCTGTGTCAAGAAAAAATATTACAAATCCTAGAATTCTCACTCAGAAAGGCTCAGCAGAGTGGATTCATTTTTTTATTAAATGTAAAAGCAATGACAATGTTTTTCTCTGATTTGTCAAATAGTTTACGGTACTCCAAAAGCACAACCTTTCTACTTTACTTCATCCCTCTATTCAAACTCTAAACATAAATTTTTAAATAAGGTTTCTTCACAAATGTTTGACCTGACATGTTGAGCACTTTCTTTAGCATTAACAATCCTATCTCAATGGTGTATTGGACCAGTAGTCCATTTTTATCACTTACACAAAGTTTCTGAGCATTAGGTCCGTTATTCCCAGCTGCCCGTCCTCTCTGGTCAGCCTCCACTGAGCAAACTTAAAACACACCTCATTACGCCGCGACACATGGACCTGCTGAGCTGTTTATAAAAATTTATCTTTACTGGATAATTAATTTTACAATTAAAAAAAGTCTTAGTCAAGATAAATTCAGTTTTTTTTAAATACACATATATTAAATAATTTTCATTTGAATATATCTCCTACTGTATGCAAATAAAGTCACAGTAATAAATATAGACTTAATAGAAAAGCCTACCCTTCATGATCCTCTGCAGTGCTTTGAACTGAAGTTGGCTCTCTTTAAAACAGCTGTCATAAAAAAGCACATTTAGCTTAAAAACTATCATACAAATATTCACTTGTGAATACTTAATTAATATAGCAATAAATACGAGGGGTGATCAGAAAGTTCGCAAACTAACTGAATAACTTCCATACAAGAAACAATATTTGGTTTTAATGTTGATTATATTTTAAATTAATCCTCCCCGATTTTAATGTACATCAACCACCATTCTGCGCATGCGCGAATCACGTGATATTGGCGGTATTAAATACTTATATCATTGTTCAAATATTCAACTATTTTTCAAAGTGCTAATTAGAGGTCTTTGATAGCAAATTGCTTAATTAAAAATCCATATCTTTTCAAACTTGCTTTCACTGGGCAAGATGACAAGTATCATTTTTAACCATCAGCCTTCCTTCATTAAAACGATAAATCCAGTCATTAATTGAATTTATAGGAACTCCTTTATCTCAATAAACTGTGTACAAATTATTATATGATACTGTAGAGGGATTTCTAAGATATTACAATAAATTGTACAGTCGTTTGTTTAACAAGTTCGACTGAGACAACCATTTTTCGTCACAAGTGACCTACATAGTGACGTCATTTTCACATTGTGACGTCACAAACAAGGAGAAAAATTTTAGTCAGCATATGCTATTTATAGATCTTGTGTATGGCTATGTGTGTACCGAATTTCATTCTAATCTGAATTGTGGTTTTGTAGATATAGAGATAGTTTGCGAACTTTTTGATCACCCCTCGTACAACTAAAAACTTTATAACATAATTACCTAATTCTCATTGACAGTTCCTCATTGAGATAGTAAATTTTTTCCTTGAGATCAAACAATTGGTGCTCACGTACTTCACTCTGTTGCATCAAACTGAACAAAAAATAAAGAGGTCAACTTGGTAGAATACATGTATATCACTTAACATTACATTACAGTGCCATATGAAGCTGCTCTGAACAAGAAAGACATCTTTGAATTCCTTACTCTTCATTGTCTTCATCATCGTCCAGACCTTTGTGAATGAGGTAGAGTTCTTTCTCAAGTCGCCGAAGAGTCAAACAATGCTCCCTATCAAAAGATTTAAGGAATTGCATATAAATGTCACAAAAGTTTTCTTGTAAGTAATTTTTTCAAATTTCAGAAGTACATATCCTTTCCTTTTCTGTTCCCTTAAAGCTGAGCATGACTCATGATAAGGCGAATGCCATTTTCAGTTTTACTTTCTACAATATCAGCACCGGGGTACTCGTAACACCTGACTGCTTTATTGTCACGGTTATCGGCATTGACTGGCTACCCATGTTCATTTTGGTTATCTTACATTTCCTTTGTTTACATTTTAATAAAGTTACATGTATTTGTGTTTGTATACTGCACTGGCCTGTGCAACTGTTGAAAGTCTCTTTGGTATTTTACTCTACTTCATAAGAAGTGCAGAGTTTTTTTTACCCTACAATTACTGTAAAACATATATCCATATATGCTGGTGACAATTGATTACACTGAACAGTTACTAAGTCAGTCGCTTTATAAAGGTCCTCAGATATAGTGAGAGTCTAATCAAATATGGCAGACACATTCCTTTTACAAATCGTGTTTAGTTTTAACTACCTACAACTAACCCTGAAAATTCACTGTGTTAAATTTCTAAGATTTACATGAAGGACTACCTGACATCTTTCTGAGTCATCCAACTGCTCAGTATTTGTGTTTGGTTTCTCACTACCTGAGATTAGTAGTGGAAAAAATGTATGTGTTTGATGACTTCATAAGATTTTTCTTTAGTGGGCTTCCTACCACATCCTCATAATTAACAACTACCTGTTATTTTCATCATATCTATTGACTTCCTGAGATTTTCAAATGTTAATTGACTAACTTAAATCATTCAGTGTTGCCTGATCATGTGAGTTATTTCGCTTAGTTTGCTGAATACCTCAGATTCTGTTTACCTGAGATTTTCCTGTGTGACCTGGATAGGAGTTTTCTGGTCCTCGATATTGGAGAGTTGTAATTGGAACCTCATGTCCTGAAGCTTGTCTGTGGTCTCCTGTTACACGATAAACACAGTTCATACGAAGTCTTATGAAGTACTGATGATCAGAAAAATGTGATTGTATTAAAAATTTTTATACCTTTTGTTTTTGTTCCACATGGAGCAGCAAATTGTTGACAATATCCAGGATCATCTGATACTGAGGCTGAAAAGAATTCAGAATGTTTGGTAAATGTACATGTATGTGTTTATAAACATCACAGTAGCTGAAAAGAGTTTTGCTTAAATGAGTACTTATTTGTACAATAGGTCTGAATTTCTCTTACATTGAATAAACCTTTTTTTCACAATACAACAACTTTAAAGTTCTCAATTCATTTTAAGCACTGTATAGTCTTGAATAATAATCAATATAAAAGCCATAGAATTACTTACAAAGTTGGTACAGATATTGAGATCATGGTGGAGAAGAGTAAACGTGTCTACCGCCTCCTCTGGTGCTACGATGTCCGAGTCATCCATTGGCTACAAAGTATTGTCATGTGTTACGGTACTATTTATAGACATGAGTAATTCAGTACAATTCAGAACGGTACATAAAGCTCTGTACTTACAGGAGGAGGGATAGCCAGTGTTATGTCAGGCCCCACTTTTCCGTAGCTGGCATAGAACACCTGACATTTACACCGGGAGATGATCCTCTGAAGCTGAACTTGTTTCTAAAACAATGTAAAAGTAATTGTAATGGCAAACATTATACAGTGTACACTGAAGACTAACAAGTCAAAATAAAACCTGAGTTGGTAATTCATATCATTTTATAATAGGAGGATAAAAACTGATCTTTTCACTGTGGGGTGGGGATATAGAAACCCCCCACTCTTTCCTCTCAGTTCATGTTTATCATGGTGTTAAAGGTGGTCATAGATCCCCATTCCCCCCACCCCCTAAACACAACAGTTTTTGTATTAACCTAGGTATTGGGGCTGGTGCTGTAGATGACCCCCCTCCCCCACCTTTAACTCATTCTCCTTCACCTCCCTCTTCCTTTTCCCAATATTTGTTTACCTTGGTGTAAAAGATGATGATATAGATCCCCCCAACACACACCACATTATTTGTGTTTACCTTGGTGTTGGGTATAGTGCTGTAGACGACTCCCCCTACACTGTGCCCACTAGACACCATCTCGGGCAGCCCACTTAGATCCTCCTCCATTCGATCCTCTACATTTTCCTGGGACAGCCAGGGATAGCAGTCTTCTTCAAGGTCACTGCCAGGGTCCACAGTGGCATAGTACTGACAAAGAGAGTAACATTTAGGTTGAGAAAAAAAATTCTGGATAATTATTTGCACTGGAAAGGTATTATTACCAGTACATTTGAATGTATAATCTAGGGCAATCTGTGTGGAAAACATCTTCCACTGAATCACCTAAGAAGAAGATACAGTTTGAGCTTTATTGTGCCCTAAAAATTTAATGTTCTTAAAAAGTTATGAAATTGGCTTTAACAATAGATGAGTAAATGAATACGATAAATTATTAAAGAATATGGCATGAAAGAGGACCTTTCTAGAAATATGACATCATTAATTTGGTACATTTCTAAGTTTAATGCAGAAAAGCATCAAAATGGCTCATTTCTGTGCTTATTTTCCTTTAGAAAATAGTGTCTGCCACAGTCGCCCAATTTAATTTTTTGTATATAGTATGTAAAATGCTATGAAAAATCACATATCTCAAAATCTTTCCGGGCGACGGTGGCAGATTATATTTTTTGAAAGAAAATTCTACTGGAAATTGATGTCTTCTGCTACTTTTTAAGAAAATACGGGAAAATGCACAAGTTAATGATGTCACAATTAGCGTTTAGGAGGTCATATGAGAAAAACGATTTATATATTCTTATTGCAGGGAGTTCCTTTGATTCAGAAATAATGAATTTTGATTTCTTATATCACTTTCATATTTTAGAAAAAATATTAGGCTTAATTTGTTTTGAAACTGTACCTTGTTCTTCTGATGTATCCTCAGATTAAGCATTTCAAAATGATTTAAAATCACATGTAGAGCTTTGAGAGATCACTACTGGAGTTACCTGCATGCATTCGATGGAGCTGACCCAGGCTGTCTTACTGTGGATCTGCTGATTCTGCCACACAGGTTGATACTCATACGACGTTATCTCCGCTTTGGCGGCGCTGACAATCACATGACCATCAGTTTCTACCCCTTTTAGAACAACCTGACAGTTGTGTAGCTCAACTATCGGGAAAAATTAGCAATAAAATATACGTTCTACAAACAATAAGCACAGTTTACAGGTCATACCATATCTTAACCTCAATAATTCCTTTACCATATGGCATACAAGTTAATTTAGCAAACTACAAATTGTTTTTGGAAAAGTGAAAATGCCAGAGTTAACTAAAATAAATAACACTCAAAAATTATACACATATGGGTTACAAAAAGGACTTATCTTCATAAGCTTATAATTCTACATGTACAGAAAACCTGAGAATATTGTGACAATTCCAGCATACTTAGCCAGTTCCTGCAGGTGATGTCGTCCTCTCTCATACATGCAGCCTTGCCATGGAGCTGTTCCAAGTTAGAGCTTGAGGGCTGAGGATCAAAACAGAACACTCAATATATCAGTTTAAAACTAACAAAGCCAAAGAATTTAAATAATGAAAATGTATGTTATTTAGCTACATTGGAAAACAGAAACAATCAAATTTGGTTCTATGGAAGTCACATAGTAGTCACGCGGACTTCAAATTTTGCTTCTTTATAATGATGGTTCTTAATATGCATATAAAACAAAAATTATATTTTGTTTCTCACCTCTTCAGTGAAGACGACAGATTTGCTGTCTGACTCGGCCACCAGTTTTTCCAGTATGTGGAGATAGTTAATGGAGGGTGGGGTTTGTTGTGTGGGGGACTCGGGCTGACCCGCAGACATCGACATTGACCGGTTCTTCTGCTGTAAGTAAATACAAAATATCATCTGACCCTTAAGAGCTCAGATCTCTATTTGTAAATATAAATTCTTTCTCTGGGAATTGTTTTTATTTTTTAATAAAAAAAATTATTGTTGTTAGCAAATAATCAGAATCAAAGAATTCCTCTCATAAATAATTCAACTTTTTTTTTTTTATTAATGATTTGTTTAAAACACAGATGCTTGTGGACAGTACCTCCCCTCCCCCTTGGACTTGGGGTGTATAATGGGGGATGGAGCCCTGTTGACAAGCACCTGTGGATTTAACACTTACTGAAGATCCCTCCTCCACTTTGAAGGCCTTGAGGGCGTCGGCTGCCAGGTTCCTTCTCAGTGACTGGGCCTTCTGGTAGCTGTCATATAGGCCAATCAGAACGTTACGATTGTGTTTAGTCCATGCCCCCTTCATTCCGTACACATGGAGGTTATGGACAAACTGAGACTGCAAGGAAAGAAGTAATGGAAAAGCTAAGCTGGCAAACAAATATTGGAATAGTGCATAGAGACAAATGACAAAATTAAAAATAAAAATTTGGGTTCATGGGTCAAGATTTAATTGTTTGAAACAAGCTGTATCCATAGTTCAACAAAGAAAATTAAGAGTTATTTGTGACCAATTTTAAGTTAAAATGAATTTAAATCCTACCTTTTCCTTTTTTATGTCTGTTTCATCTTCTGAATCACTCTCTGTCTTTGGAGTTGTGATGTCCCCTCTCTTGTATGTTACCCTGTAGGACAAATAAATTGATTGAAATACAAGTACATGTAGATCTATGTGTGTTTGAAAATTAGTGTGTATATTGTGAAAACTGACAATCTACCTATTGACAGTGATGAACAGCTTTTTATCCACTGGATTTCTCAAAGAAACATTCAACTAGATAGAATAAAAAACAATACTTGCATATAAAATACCACAGGTATATAAATCACTTAAATGCAGTACAACCAATATGTGATAAATCTACAATGACTTAGATATCCCTACAGTGTAAGACTCACCTCGTCTGCCGTCTGTCTGGCACTCTGTAACCAGACCTTGGCAGCGTTCAGGTCACAGCTGAGGTATCGGACACTCCAGTTCGCGGCCGGGCGGTGGAACAGACCGTCTTCTATCGGGACCAGTGTCAGGTCGTGACAGCTGTGGAGAACGAACGACTCCGCCAGCAGTTCCTGTCCGTGCTGCTTAGAGAAGGACATCCAGTAACAGATGTTAAATCGATGGAGGTTTACATCCAACTTAATGGTTCTGTAAAATGGGAAAAAATGGTAAGCTAATTCTCTTATACCCTAAATCTGGAAATTTTACGTCGATTTTATTTTGCGATTTCGGGTCAAAATGGTGTTGATTAATTTTTACGTTTCAAAATTTTGCCAATTACCACTGCTTTGTTTACATTTTCTTATTGGTAATTTATTTTTAAGAAAAATATTTTTGCGAATGCAATGAACTCGCAAATTTGCTAAAAATTTATCTACAGCAAAAATTCCCAGATTTACGGTATTGTTATTTTTCATCATTTGACAGATTACTCGAAAAATATCACACAAGTCAAATTCCTCTTCTTCAAATGCTAAGAATTGTGTCCATTTTCCTCATCACATGTGTATTGAATTATTTTTAAATTCTAATTCAATAAATCAAATGTGTGTCACCTTCTTTTTCAATTTCTATTGCATGCTGGTTATCACAGTCAGGTAAACTTACTTGTAATGTCGTGTCAGCTGGATTTTCCTTGCTTTAGCATTCTTAAAAATGGCTCCTCTTTTAATTGGTCTCGTTACTGAAGCTAAACATGTCTGAAATGACAAAGAAAGTCAGTTTAAACATTGTATACAAGTATTTTAGGTACATTAATCTAACATTTAAGCACTGCAAGATACATGTACTTCACTGCATTTTGCTTATTCACATTTTATGACATGCACATGAATTGAAAAACTAGCTGTAGCACTATGAGAAATAAGATTTATGGCACCCAGAAATACAAAACATGATCTTTCAATACTCAAAATGTATTTATATTCCTAAACCATCTAGTATTTTACAAAGACTTTTGAAGTCATATCTTGAAAACAGGTTTTTACTGACTTCATTATATACAGAAGTATCTTTGTCTTTAAGTGCCAAATAAATTGCTTGTAAATGGTAAGATTAGTTAATATAAAAAAGTTGTGTAACTTCTATGTTTTAATTAACATATTTACTCAAACATAGTCATCAATACATAGAGCCAAAGTCTGTGTGATAAGACCCTAATTTATATTCTTATTAACTCATTCATATTTTACCCCAATTTTATCCAAGAATTTGAGAGTGCTGGCATAAAAAAGGCAGCTAGGAATATTCAGAGTGTTGTCTCTACTTGGTTTTGTATCCATGGAAATCTCCAGATTTAGGTTCTGAGATCTGAAAGCTCGGAATGAATCATGCTCCTGTAAGGACAATTTTTTATTTTGAATTTAACATGAATTGAAGCCTAACCAAAAATTTAATTGTAGAAGTGTATCATTTAATATACAGCATAATAATAACATCACATCTATAAACAACACTGATAAAACAAAATAACAAACTATATACAGTAAAACATGCTTGTAGTGAAGTGGAGGCAATGGACAACTTTTCTTAAAGTCATGGGAAATGAAAATCACTTCTTGCAGGGTCAGTTCATTATAAGCATGTTCCCTATCAGAATGTTTTCCTGTTCTTTGATTGAACTGAATTAAAGCTTGTGCTCTTTTTCTGAGTCAGGTCTTACCTCTAGTGAGTACTGTGGTACTTTATTTAGAGTCAGGTCTTTACCTCTAGTGAGTACTCTGGTACTATATTTAGAGTCAGGTCTTTACCTCTAGTGAGTACTCTGGTACTATATTTAGAGTCAGGTCTTACCTCTAGTGAGTACTCTGGTACTATATTTAGAGTCAGGTCTTTACCTCTAGTGGGTACTCTGGTACTATATTTAGAGTCAGGTCTTTACCTCTAGTGAGTACTCTGGTACTATATTTAGAGTCAGGTCTTTACCTCTAGTGAGTACTCTGGTACTATATTTAGAGTCAGGTCTTTACCTCTAGTGAGTACTCTGGTACTATATTTAGAGTCAGGTCTTACCTCTAGTGAGTACTCTGGTACTATATTTAGAGTCAGGTCTTTACCTCTAGTGGGTACTCTGGTACTATATTTAGAGTCAGGTCTTTACCTCTAGTGAGTACTCTGGTACTATATTTAGAGTCAGGTCTTACCTCTAGTGAGTACTGTGGTACTATATTTAGAGTCAGGTCTTACCTCTAGTGAGTACTCTGGTACTATATTTAGAGTCAGGTCTTACCTCTAGTGAGTACTCTGGTACTATATTTAGAGTCAGGTCTTACCTCTAGTGAGTACTCTGGTACTATATTTAGAGTCAGGTCTTTACCTCTAGTGGGTACTCTGGTACCTCTAGTGAGTACTCTGGTACTATATTTAGAGTCAGGTCTTTACCTCTAGTGAGTACTCTGGTACTATATTTAGAGTCAGGTCTTTACCTCTAGTGAGTACTCTGGTACTATATTTAGAGTCAGGTCTTTACCTCTAGTGGGTACTCTGGTACTATATTTAGAGTCAGGTCTTTACCTCTAGTGAGTACTCTGGTACTATATTTAGAGTCAGGTCTTACCTCTAGTGAGTACTCTGGTACTATATTTAGAGTCAGGTCTTATCTCTAGTGAGTACTCTGGTACTATATTTAGAGTCAGGTCTTTACCTCTAGTGAGTACTCTGGTACTATATTTAGAGTCAGGTCTTTACCTCTAGTGAGTACTCTGGTACTATATTTAGAGTCAGGTCTTTACCTCTAGTGAGTACTCTGGTACTATATTTAGAGTCAGGTCTTTACCTCTAGTGGGTACTCTGGTACTATATTTAGAGTCAGGTCTTTACCTCTAGTGAGTACTCTGGTACTATATTTAGAGTCAGGTCTTTACCTCTAGTGAGTACTCTGGTACTATATTTAGAGTCAGGTCTTTACCTCTAGTGAGTACTCTGGTACTATATTTAGAGTCAGGTCTTTACCTCTAGTGGGTACTCTGGTACTATATTTAGAGTCAGGTCTTACCTCTAGTGAGTACTCTGGTACTATATTTAGAGTCAGGTCTTTACCTCTAGTGGGTACTCTGGTACTATATTTAGAGTCAGGTCTTACCTCTAGTGAGTACTCTGGTACTATATTTAGAGTCAGGTCTTTACCTCTAGTGAGTACTCTGGTACTATATTTAGAGTCAGGTCTTACCTCTAGTGAGTACTCTGGTACTATATTTAGAGTCAGGTCTTACCTCTAGTGAGTACTCTGGTACTATATTTAGAGTCAGGTCTTTACCTCTAGTGAGTACTCTGGTACTATATTTAGAGTCAGGTCTTTACCTCTAGTGGGTACTCTGGTACTATATTTAGAGTCAGGTCTTTACCTCTAGTGGGTACTCTGGTACTTTATTTAGAGTCAGGTCTTTACCTCTAGTGAGTACTCTGGTACTATATTTAGAGTCAGGTCTTACCTCTAGTGAGTACTCTGGTACTATATTTAGAGTCAGGTCTTTACCTCTAGTGAGTACTCTGGTACTATATTTAGAGTCAGGTCTTTACCTCTAGTGAGTACTCTGGTACTATATTTAGAGTCAGGTCTTTACCTCTAGTGAGTACTCTGGTACTTTATTTAGAGTAAGGTCTTTACCTCTAGTGAGTACTCTGGTACTTTATTTAGAGTCAGGTCTTTACCTCTAGTGAGTACTCTGGTACTTTATTTAGAGTACTTTATTTAGAGTCAGGTCTTTACCTCTAGTGAGTACTCTGGTACTATATTTAGAGTCAGGTCTTACCTCTAGTGAGTACTCTGGTACTATATTTAGAGTCAGGTCTTTACCTCTAGTGAGTACTGTGGTACTATATTTAGAGTCAGGTCTTTACCTCTAGTGGGTACTCTGGTACTATATTTAGAGTCAGGTCTTTACCTCTAGTGGGTACTCTGGTATTATATTTAGAGTTAGGTCTTTACCTCTAGTGAGTACTGTGGTACTAATTTAGAGTCAGGTCTTTACCTCTAGTGAGTACTCTGGTACTTTATTTAGAGTAAGGTCTTTACCTCTAGTGAGTACTCTGGTACTTTATTTAGAGTCAGGTCTTTACCTCTAGTGAGTACTCTGGTACTAATTTAGAGTCATGTCTTTACCTCTAGTGAGTACTCTGGTACTTTATTTAGAGTCAGGTCTTTACCTCTAGTGAGTACTCTGGTACTTTATTTAGAGTCAGGTCTTTACCTCTAGTGAGTACTCTGGTACTTTATTTAGAGTCAGGTCTTTACCTCTTGTGAGTACTCTGGTACTTTATTTAGAGTCAGGTCTTTACCTCTAGTGAGTAGTCTTTACCTCTAGTGAGTACTCTGGTACTATATTTAGAGTCAGGTCTTATCTCTAGTGAGTACTCTGGTACTATATTTAGAGTCAGGTCTTACCTCTAGTGAGTAGTGTGGTACTATATTTAGAGTCAGGTCTCTACCTCTAGTGAGTACTCTGGTACTATATTTAGAGTCAGGTCTTTACCTCTAGTGAGTACTCTGGTACTATATTTAGAGTCAGGTCTTTACCTCTAGTGAGTACTGTGGTACTATATTTAGAGTCAGGTCTTTACCTCTAGTGAGTACTGTGGTACTATATTTAGAGTCAGGTCTTTACCTCTAGTGAGTACTCTGGTACTATATTTAGAGTCAGGTCTTTACCTCTAGTGAGTACTCTGGTATTATATTTAGAGTCAGGTCTTTACCTCTAGTGAGTACTCTGGTACTATATTTAGAGTCAGGTCTTTACCTCTAGTGAGTACTCTGGTACTATATTTAGAGTCAGGTCTTTACCTCTAGTGAGTACTCTGGTACTATATTTAGAGTCAGGTCTCTACCTCTAGTGAGTACTCTAGTACTTTATTTAGAGTCAGGTCTTTACCTCTAGTGAGTACTGTGGTACTAATTTAGAGTCAGGTCTTTACCTCTAGTGAGTACTCTGGTACTTTATTTAGAGTCAGGTCTTTACCTTTAGTGAGTACTCTGGTACTATATTTAGAGTCATGTCTTTACCTCTAGTGAGTACTCTGGTACTATATTTTGAGGCAGGTCTCTACCTCTAGTGAGTACTCTGGTACTTTATTTAGAGTCAGGTCTTTACCTCTAGTGAGTACTCTGGTACTTTATTTAGAGTCAGGTCTTTACCTCTAGTGAGTACTCTGGTACTAATTTAGAGTCATGTCTTTACCTCTAGTGTGTACTCTAGTACTATATTTAGAGTCAGGTCTTTACCTCTAGTGAGTACTCTGGTACTATATTTAGAGTCAGGTCTTTACCTCTAGTGAGTACTCTAGTACTATATTTAGAGTTAGGTTTTTACCTCTAGTGAGTACTCTGGTACTATATTTAGAGTCAGGTCTTTACCTCTAGTGAGTACTGTGGTACTATATTTAGAGTCAGGTCTTTACCTCTAGTGAGTACTCTGGTACTATATTTAGAGTCAGGTCTTTACCTTTAGTGAGTACTGTGGTACTAATTTAGAGTCAGGTCTTTACCTCTAGTGAGTACTCTGGTACTTTATTTAGAGTCAGGTCTTTACCTTTAGTGAGTACTCTGGTACTATATTTAGAGGCAGGTCTCTACCTCTAGTGAGTACTCTGGTACTAATTTAGAGTCAGGTCTTTACCTCTAGTGAGTACTGTGGTACTATATTCAGAGTCAGGTCTTACCTCTAGTGAGTACTGTGGTACTATATTTAGAGTCAGGTCTTTACCTCTAGTGAGTACTCTGGGACTAATTTAGAGTCAGGTCTTTACCTCTAGTGAGTAGTGTGGTACTATATTTAGAGTCAGGTCTTTACCTCTAGTGAGTACTCTGGTACTACATTTAGAGTCAGGTCTTTACCTCTAATGAGTACTCTGGTACTATATTTAGAGTCAGGTCTTTACCTCTAGTGAGTACTCTGGTACAATATTTAGAGTCAGGTCTTTATCTCTAGTGAGTACTCTGGTACTTTATTTAGAGTCAGGTCTTTACCTCTAGTGAGTACTCTGGTACTATATTTAGAGTCAGGTCTTTACCTATAGTGAGTAGTGTGGTACTATATTTAGAGTCAGGTCTTTACCTCTAGTGAGTACTCTGATACTATATTTAGAGTCAGGTCTTATCTCTAGTGAGTACTCTGGTACTATATTTAGAGTCAGGTCTTTACCTCTAATGAGTACTCTGGTACTATATTTAGAGTCAGGTCTTTACCTCTAGTGAGTACTCTGGTACTTTATTTAGAGTCAGGTCTTTACCTCTAGTGAGTACTCTGGTACTATATTTAGGGTCAGGTCTTTACCTCTAGTGACTGGTACTATATTTAGAGTCAGGTCTTTACCTCTAGTGAGTACTCTGGTACTATATTTAGAGTCAGGTCTTTACCTCTAGTGAGTACTCTGGTACTATATTTAGAGTCAGGTCTCTACCTCTAGTGAGTACTCTGGTACTATATCGTTACGTTTCACGAAGTGTACCTGTGAAATTCGGGTTAACTCTTGTTTACAAGTTCGGAATAAATGGACCCTGAACCCGATGTTTATAAACTACGTAAATATTTGTCAATGAATAGTTAACAAAAGAAATGAACACTAATTGATTTAATATGACTTTATTAACTTAACTTGTATAATTTAAAGACAAAGTGATGTATTTTGTATGTTTTATATTATTATTATTTTAGTATGTATAATTTTGTTGGTCAAAACCCGCTAACTTATTGATTGTATTGATTGTGACGTAATATAGGTATCTTATTGTCTCTTACGTCATCATAACAACTTTTGTCTATATAAACCAGCTGTTTTGGGTTTAGACTTCAGTCGGCTGTGGGGAGCGACTCGCAGCACACAGCCTTCCCTGGTAAGTCACTTGGGGAACGACTCCGTATACTTCGGTTATAAGATGGTACCAAGTCTATGTATACGAAACCATTAAAGGGAACCAAGTTTTTAGGAACGTCCTGGATTGACCATCGGTTGGTCACCTTTTTGTTAACCAAATAACGTTGTACCAACCAAGTTACAGTGTACCATTCTGTGTGTTTATAAGTGAACCATTTGATCGTCCTAATAAATGTTATAAACTTTTAACAAGTATTATTCCTAACAAACATTATTTAAAGTGACCAAAAATTGGTCATTACGTCAACCAAAGAAGTGACCAAAATTGGTAATTACGTCAACCAAAGAGGTGACCAAAAGTTGGTCATTACATCAACCAAATAAGTGACCAAAAGTTGGTTATTAACCATTATATAAACTGTGACCAACAGAACCATCAAATCTCGACCAAGTGACCAGAAAACTAATAGCGGCCCACGAGTAAATTATAACACGATACCCTCGGTCTCGTTACAATATTTAGAGTCAGGTCTTTACCTCTAGTGAGTACTCTGGTACTTTATTTAGAGTCAGGTCTTTACCTCTAGTGAGTACTCTGGTACTATATTTAGAGTCAGGTCTTTACCTCTAGTGAGTACTCTGGTACTATATTTAGAGTCAGGTCTTTACCTCTAGTGAGTACTCTGGTACAATATTTAGAGTCAGGTCTTTACCTCTAGTGAGTACTCTGGTACAATATTTAGAGTCAGGTCTTTACCTCTAGTGAGTACTCTGGCACTTTATCAGGGGCACACGGCATGACTGAGTGGTGATCATTGGCATCACCAAGACAAATCCAACCCAACTTCACACTAAAAATAAAAGACTGAAACCTTATACTGAAAGCCAAGTGAGAATTAATAAATAGGGAATATAAAATTTTTTCTAATAAATAACAATTCTGGCAAAGTCTTTCTTGGGCTGACCAATAAGCTTGCCCTACTTATTTACTTTACCTCTAATACGTTTTGTGAAAGAAAATCCAAAGTCAGACTGAGTGCATGAGATATAACTGCTGGCAGATGGAGTAAGTATGACATATGACAGTCATAAAATCTAACACTCATTTTGGTCTGGGTCTCTAATAACTATATTTCTTAGGAACACAGAGCAGTACTTTTCTAAGGAATACACAATACCTGTTTTAGATCATTTGATAATATTTTATCTTACTCAGCAAATACTTTGTGGTAAGAAACATTTCTATCAGATATGAGCTCCAATTAAACTGTGGTTTGTTTGTTGTTTATTGTCCCCTTACAGAATTTTTCACTTATACACATGTATTGCGACACCATTTCATACAGTTGGTGGGCTGCAAATTTTACTTTATATATCTAATTTATAAGTATTTTTTTGTGCAATCACCTACTGAACCACAGAATCTCGATTTATGGTCTCATCTGAAGAACCAGTCTCCATGTCCCACAGTGAGATTAGAGACAGTGACATAAGGATCAGACTTAATTTTGTAACTCAAAAGCAATTGCTTTAACCACTGTGCCACACATGCAACTTTATCTTTAAAATGCTTAAGACATTTTTTTTTTCTGCCTTTGAAACTCTGTAGGGTTGGAGTTAGAATTTAAGATTGAACATACGTAAAGTTTGAAACTTGTGAGGAGAAAGCAATACTGCTACTGCAAGACAACTGTTTACTGTTTGTCTCAATGAGGTCAAGCTATCAAATGGGCAGATCAGGTGTCACCATTTTCAGGGGAATCACATTTGTGTGTGTGTGGGTGTGTGTGTGTGGGGGGGTCTATAGTTTTCCTGGTGTGAACAGATGAAGAGATACATAAATTCACATCAACATTGAAATGTTTTAATCTTTTATACTACAGTCTGAAGCTCCTCTTTAGAACATGTATTAAATTATCTCTAATCAATGACTCTAACTAAAAACATGTAAAAGAAGTGAATTTACAGTATTTGGGGTGAATAAATGTACAAATCAAACCACATACATACCTAAGATTAAGCTTTGGAAGATGAAGAAGTTTACAATCATCATATTTGGAAGCTGTTCTTGCATAAATGTCCAAGTCACCTTTTAATCTGAACCATGCTGTAATTGTAAATACTGTATAACAAACTAAATCTGAATAATTTTGAAAACAGAAACATGAATTATTCTACAAAAAAATCTACATCAATAACTTTTTTTCATTTATCAAAATATCTTCTCCTTCCTCTTTACATCAAAAGATATTTATATATTAATCAGGATCTTTAAAGACTTTAAACTATAAATAGGAGTCTGTTTACCATTGGTCCAGTCCAAAATGAGGTTACTCCAGGACCAGTCCATCAGTTCCGTGGTGTTGTATGGATCAAATGAAGCATGATAAAGCCAGCTCATCTGGTCTACAGACATGGTCAGTCGACCGTGCAGGAGGAGGCGAATCTTGTCCCACCAGGGGAGGGGTCGACTGGGGTCAACCGAGGGTTTGTTGACAAGATCCATGGACAGGTTATACTGAGCCATAGCTGGTTCCCAGCATGCACCATAGGCCATTATCCAAGATTGTACATCTGAAAGGAATGCACATTCTATAGTTGATAAAAAGTCTATAGCAGAAGTCATGGTACAATTTGAGAGCAGTACTCACCACAGCTGAAGTCATGGTAAAACTTTAGACCGGGTAGGTTTCTCTCCACAGTCATATCTCCCCATGGCTCTCCCACTGACACGGTACAGGACCTCTTAGCTACAATCAACACACAACAAGGGCTTTCTGACAACAAGGCACATGAACTCGTGACGCATAGTTATATATTCTTTAGTATCAAAGTGCAGATTTTCACAATAAACTTTTAATGGTTGTGCTGTATTTCTCAAGAAGTTTTAATGGATGTGATAGTCATACAAGTATAAACTTTACAGACCTCTTTTGAGTCCCTCCTGCTCGGCTCCAATGAGCCTACCCCACAGATGCATGTCCTTGACCTCCAGCCAGGGCTGGGGATAGTCCCGCATAGTGATCAACCAGGTACTGAGGCTGACATTGACCATTCTACACCACAGGGTCACAAAGTCTAGTCCCTCAGCAGGATACGGACTGTTTATTCGGCAGGGTACGGACTGTTAATACAAAGTTAATAAAAATACAATAACTCAGACATTGACCATTCAGTCTAGTCCTTCAGCAGGGTACAGACTGTTAATACAAAGTACAATTAAAACCAATTAGGAACTGAAGCTTACACTGAACCTCTATACCATTATTAATATTACATTAATACAGTTTCCAATATGAGAATTCTTACCTGTCCTTGTCAATTTCCCGTAAGTGCTTTACCACGTTCTCTTTGCCGTGGAATGATAGGTCCGCCAGAGCAAGGATTTCAATGTCCTCCATGGCCCACGTAAACAGCTTCCGTCTCATTGGTGTCTGAGCATACAGCTGGTGAGATCGCTGAATGTAGATTTCGCTGTTCTTCTTGGCCAGGGAAGCATACAGCTCTTGTAATTTATCAGCTGTCAAAAGCATTTAATTAAAATTAATTCTGCAATATTTCTGACAAGAATTTCATCCAAAACATTTCTTACATGTATCCGTGTATAAAATTATAGCATAATATACAGTCACTTTTTAAAAAAGAAAAACTGCAAAACTTCAACTAAACTTAGCTCACCCAGTCAAGCACCTCTATAATTAAAATCACTTTAGTTCATAAAACATGTACTAGTCTAATTTGCTTAGGGAAGATTAATTTTATAAGCGTCTTGCATGTTACTAGATATACGCAATGGATTCTGAAATTTTTATTGATTACCAGGTATGATGACACGACTTCTCGTCTCCTGAATCTTTTGGTCCAGTACTTGACGCCGTTTGATGCCCTCGCTGCTTTCATCTTTCAGTAAATCGTAATTATCTCCTAACTTAACCTCAAATGGGTCATCACTCAGTTGTATAATGAATAACTATAAATAAACCCCATGGAACTTGCATTAGCATGTAAATATGTACAAAAATAAAATGTAGGATTAAAATGCCTCAAACATCTGATAAAAAGGTATATATTTAAGATACATGTATGTATATATGTACCTTAGCTTTGATCCTGAGATCAGGAGGGAGTTTACTGTCCACTGTAAATGGCTTCTTTTGTATGTTGTGAACCAACTTCCACCATTTAAACAAATTGACAAACTTAAAAACAAAAAAAAAACATACATGTAAAATTAATTTTAATTCTGTTTGAATGGTAGATAAAGCTGTCATAGATATCATCTCACATACAGGATCATCATTAACTTCTGTATCTCTTGCCTTTTGGATCGGTTAATTGTAATTTTGACTTCTTTATATGCCCTTGATTGACAAACATAAATGTCTCTCCTTGGTATCAATCTAAACTCTTTCACTAAATTTTTTTCTTACCTCATCAAAGCACTCAGCAAAGTTGTAGTTAAAGGGAAAGAAAACCTTAAAGGTTGAAAATGATATATTCCTGCAAAATAATGCAGAAATAAATAAATTTTTAATGCTGCATGAACATATTTGCAATCACTCAAAAGAGAAATTAAAATATGCTCAGCCAATACAGCCATCAAAGGATATTTATTCCGTACAGAAACATATATGTCTAGAATATTTTAATGTGCCATTTTTGAGCACTTACATCCTGTGGCATACATTTAAAGTCAAAATTACAAAATTATGAACTTGCCAGGAACGGTTAGATTGTAATGTGAGATCCCCAAAAATAGATCTTTCCTTCATTAAGAACGAATCTCCCATAGCAGCAAACAACACTTCCTGAAAAGAAATATTTGTTACACTTCACTTTACATATTTAAATGTATGAATCTTCTTTGATTGCACAGTAAATCTGACCTGCCTTACCTCTATATGGAAGACTTTGTGTTTATCACACTGAATGACTAAATTCTTGATCTCCATTAGGACTTCCACCACAGATCTTTTGAAGACCAGGCCCTCCACCAATAGAGTTACACTGAAAAGGACAAGGAACAAGTTTACAACTACAGCTGCACATGTACTGGAATGTATCAGTGACAGGGGAAATTCTAGATAGATGAATGTACTTCAAGACTTACGTTCTTTTGTGTGCCAGTTTCAGTGTGAGAGACACTCTAGCTGTAACCCCCACATTGATCTTCATTTTAATCTCCGCCGAGGTGTTCTTTAAAAGTGGACTTGGCTTCTTAAATTCTGGAATAAAAATCAGGTCATTATTTACTGTCCTAGAGCAGAAACACTTGGCTAGTTATTAAACTAAGAGAGAAATGCCATGATTAGCATTGGGGCAACTGAATTTTTGAATGAAACTGGTGGTTAAAAACAAGACACACAGTTTAATGGCTTTTCGTATTTAAGATTATACTTGAGGGGAGACGTAAGGTTCTTGATGTATTATAAACTTTTGTACCGTCAATCTGCTGAGTTTGACATTTAAGTTCCATTGCATTTGATAATATACATGTTCTTCAAGCAGCATATTTTTTTGAGAATGGTAACAAGTTCATCATTATTTTTTTTAAACAAATCCTTCCAATAGTTTCCGAGAAATGGTCCAGACAAAAACTTGTCTACAGACAGACAGACAAGCTGATTCCATTATACCCCCAGGAACTTCGTTTGCAGGGGGTATAATAAAATACCTTTGAATTTTGCTACGAGTTCCTTCGTATCTTCCAGTGCCTGAATAATACACATATGATGACCAGTCTCCCAGTGGCAAGACAAACTCTGGGTCACCTTTACGTCCAATGTCTGGAAAGATTACATCAACAGCTAATAAGAAATCATGAAATCACATTTTATAAGCACCTTAACTAAAACAAAAATTGTCTAAGAAATTGTGATGTCCATGTCCATGGTAATCTTTGAATTACAGTAAATAATCTGACCGTCTGATAAAATTTCTAAACTAATTGTAATATAGAATTTCTAAACTCACATTGCGAGTATGTGATAAAACAATTTCCACTTTTTGAATGTGGACAGCTGGACTGCGAAGGTCACTGGAACTCTGTAGTTTTACAAACTGTAACAAAGTGAAGCACAAAAAGATCATAATGAACCGAAACACCCAAAAAAAAGCACCTACACTCTGTAAAACAGAAAAAAAAAGATGTCTCACAGATGTCCTCAATGCTTACTTGATCTTTGAGTTGAACAGCCATGACCTTGACCCCTTCGATAGCCATGTCTATCTGTGAAGGTTGTCTACACACAATAATGCTGTCCACTCGTAGCATCAAGCCAACTACAATATAAAGTTGAAATATTTTTTTAGGGATGACAACGTTTAACCAGCTAACCAACTAATCAATCAGAAACATGAAAGCTAATTACAATTTCTATAACTGGTAAGTCCATAATTTTTGCAAAATAAACAATTTTTTAAAAATATTTCTTTCTTTTAAAATTTAATCTCTTTGGTAGAGTGTTTAAAACTGAAATGCTGCCTATAATCAATTGAACAATTCATTTTCCACCATCTAAACATGTCCCAACATTTTTAAAAAATATATCCCTAAATGCTTAAGTTTAAAATATCTCTGTAAAAAATATTCTACCTGCATTACTGGGTAACACAAAACAGCTTATTTTCTACTCAAAATGCGGAAATATTTCAAGAGGTACTGAGAAGGCAAAAAAAAATTGCAAAACAAATTATCAAATGTTTGTCTGACCAAGCTCTCACCTTTATAATTATTAGTGATGAACACACTTGTGTTAGATGCTTCAAAGTTGATAGTGACCTTTAAATTGGCAGGTACTTTCCATGCTGTATTTCCTGACATTGGAGCCCTGGATGAGGACCTTGGTAGATTGATCTCCCCTGAGTAGGAGCGCGATCTCTGTAGGGAGCTCAGAAAGCTGAGGAGGACATTGACGGTGTTGGAGGACCACTCTAGCTGTCCATTCATCACGATCGCTGTCACCTCCACCTCACTCCCCGACTTCATCATCTGACGTACCAAATATTACATAGTGTTACATGTACTTATAGGTAACATGAAAATATTATACAGGTATTCTGGAGATCCATATTATTTTTTAATTTTTTCCCATCATTTGCAATCTCACATACCACAAACTGTGTGCCTGGCCAGTGCCTACTTCTGTTGAAGTGATACTAACCTTGAGAACCAGTTTATCTATGTAGTCCCAGTAACGAAGTGGTACTAACCTTTAGAACCAGTTTATCTATGTAGATGGGGTGGTCCCAGTAATGATGCTGGTGATGCAGTGTGTCGGGTGTGACTGTGCTCTCCATATGTTGACAGTACACCGTATTTACCTCCACCTGACAGGAGAGGTCCTGCTGGACGTCTCCTGTTGGAAACAAAGTTTTAAATTTATGGAGTCATTTGTACAATCATGACATATATTTTGACATGTAAATATAAAACAGTACTCAAGATAAGTTTGACAAAATAAACCTGAGACTAACCTGCCACTCCAGGAAAGACAGTGAATGAGAATTGTGTGGAGAGGACACCAAAATGAAGACCAGAACAGATAGCAGATGACACAGCAGACGACACATCATTTAAATTAACAACACATGAAATCTCACGACTGTGTAGAAAATCCCGCAGTTTGGATCTGGAAATGCATGCATGTCAAAATAATTCAGAAAAGAGCATATTTTCTTTACATCAATAAAGTGCACCAGTCACAGTATGAAACACCAATAAAATAAACTGCTTTTTAAATTTCTCTCAATTTGTTTCATAATATAACCAATTTTTACACCAAAAATACATTTCCATTTGACATTCAAAAGAAATCCTTTTGTGTAATACATCAAAATATCTTCGATGAAAAATTTTTCTGGAAATCTAGATGAGGGAGATATCTGGAAGTGTAACAATATACTTGCAAGGACATATCTGGATGAATTACATGTAAGTAGATATCTGGATGTGTTATGTGTAGGGAGATATCTGAATGTTACCTGTAGGGAGATATTTGGATGTTGTTTTCAGGGAGATATCAGGATAATGATATCTATAAAATTCTTGAAATGTTACCTTTAGGGAGATATCTGGATGTGTTACTTGAAAGGAGATATCTGGTTCGATTGACTGTCAGGAGATATCTGGATGTGTTTTCTGTAGGGAGATATCTGGATGTTTCTTGTATGGAGATATCTGGATGTGTTTTTTGTAAGAAGATATCTAGATGTGTTTTTTGTAAGAAGATATCTGGATGTTTCTTGTATGGAGATATCTGGATGTGTTATCTGTCTGGAGATATCTGGATGTGTTTTTTGTAGGGATGTCAAATCGGTCAATTTTTGATACTCGGTTATGTGTTTTTTGTAAAAGTGTAAATAAATATGAACAAGTTTATTGATGACTGTAAAACATTGTAAACTCTTGTAGAAATAAAACCGATGGGAGGTTACCTGCAAATGCGTTGTAACAATTATGACCACTTTGTAAGAAATTTAATCTAACATTTTTTTGTAAATTTTTTATCAAATAAATACGAGAAATAAAATCATAAATGGTTCACAGTGTTTTTGTTCCGTAAGTGTTCGCTATGTTTGACGTCCAAGTTGTCTGAGCTACATGTACGGTATAAACTTGATCAACTTATCCTATAATTAACAGAGCGGATTTATACGATCTTCGTACACTTTTTGATCCTAGATTTCATAGAATTACGATATGTTATGTTGTAGTTTTGAGCAACGATGGACATAAGATTTTTAAAGCATTTGTCTTCAACCATTTGCATTAATTGGCATGCAATCAGACGCATCCAAATCAACAATCGCACTTGCAATATCGTCTGTCTCTTTCCCGAAAATTTACGGCTTCTTGGAAAATTGACAAAATTATTTAATTTATTCAAATATAATGGACCTTAAACGATGTTCAATGAAAACAAATAATTAAAGCAAACTAAATATAGGGAGGTATCTGGACGAGATTTTGTAAGAAGATATCTGGATATATTACATATAGGGAGATATCTGGATGATTCTTGTATGGAGATATCTGGATTGTTGTCCGTATGGAGATATCTGGATGTGTTTTTTGTAAGAAGATATCTGGATGTGTTTTCTGTAGGGATATATCTGGATGTGTTTCTTGTAAGGAGATATCTGGATGTGTTTTTTGTAAGAAGATATTTGGATGTGTTTTCTGTAGGGATATATCTGGATGTTTCTTGTATGGAGATATCTGGATGTGTTTCTTGTAGGGAGATATCTGGATGTGTTATATGTAGGGAGATATCTGTTACATGTGGGAGATATCTTGATGTGTTACCTGTAGGGAGATGATGGTTGACTAGAGTTGGTAGACATTGTTGATAATTGGGAGGAGGAGCGTCCCTCAGTTAATCGACAGACCACACTGCTCCAATATTGCACTTCATCGTGATGATAATGAAAGTAGCCTCCATGGACAGCTAAAGAACTATCTACAGAGTCACCCCCAACCTGAAAATCACAACGTGTTTACATGATATATAATGAGTAATTAGCTGGAAACTCCGGCTATTTTCAGAGCTTCTTGTTTAACATGTAAAAAATAATTAAATAAACTTCTCTGAAAAATGAGAATTTATAAAGATGATACCTTGCACTTGATTTTCATTTTTTCTAAATCGGCAAATCTGGCTTGTGGAGATTTTGTATGAAAGTCTGGAAGAGGAAAACAAAATATACTGAATGTACAATGTAACTAAGAAGTCAATAGTGTGATATTAATAAATATGATAATGTAAATACTTACCATCTATAATAATGTTAAGAACTGCTTCCTCACTGCTGTTAGTATTAACTTCATGTAAACCCTTCCCTTTGAAGAATTCTGTATGGAACATTCTCAGACTAATACTTAGTGTTCTACAAAATAATGCCACAAATTACTTCAAAGTTCAAGCCATAAAATAACACGAGATTTTACTTCACTAGGTAATCACAAATTAATCTTATGCACGATATAAGATGTTAAAAATTTATATTACCTTTGTTTATTATCCCTAACTATCACTGTGTGTAAATCTGTAACATCAATTCCAATTTCCTGTTGATGATAATGATAAATACAAAAAGTTAAAGAAATATACATTTTAACTTATAGTTTAGAATGTTCTTTTCGTTAATTTTATGTAACATTTGTGAGATAATCATCACTTTATTACTAATTATTACAATGGTCTCTTACATTTGGAATTATTTGTTCTAATGGAATCTTTGAGGCAAGGTTTTGGCTGGAAGGTCTTTCTGAAAAATCGATGTCTTCTTTATATACCAGACCAACAATAAGCAATAAATCTTCATTGTGAATCAAATCCTTATTAAGTTCTTAATTAATTTTACCTTCGTTATGTTACATCTTACCTTCTCTGGTTAATGCATTGGCAAGGCGAGATCGGCGGACATCTTGTAAACTTGTTAAAAAAGCTGTAAAATACAATTATAGTGTTTGTCTTAAACATTGAGAGCATTACATGTAAACACTGTAACTTACAGCAAAGAGCAAAGACAAAGAGCATGTTCACAGATTTGTTACCAAAAATTGAGTTCCTTACCTTCTGTCATCATTGCTTGTGGTTTCTCCACCAAAATTCTTGCTGACTAAAGAAAACCATAGGAAACACCAATGCATAAAATTCTTCCTTACAAAATTTACATGATGAAATAACAAATTTGAGAGAAATTTATATTCTGCACTATTTTTTAATGTTTAATACTATTTTCCTTCAAACTGGATTTACTTCTATAATTCCTATCATTTTACACAATACAAATACATATATGTACTATACATTGAGTTTTTTTATTGGATAAATCTTGGTAATTCAGAGCATCTACAGATCTATAAATTTACTTTAATTTTTGTGTTGCTGTGTAGGAGACCTGTGACATGGATTAACTTCCAGGAGGCTTCCGCTAGACATGGCTCTATATTCTCTGTCTGTAAAGGAGATTGTTTAATTTCAGACAATAGTTCATAACTTGATTTGGATAAGAAATTATGATGATGGATGATGAATGTTGAGTCATTTCAAAAATAGCAAAGTTCTCTTAAGTTTTCTAAATATACTATACATATGAGAATATATTTTTTAAACACTAATATGAGAATATAAACATGTAGGTAGACTCACTGTCTGGGCACTGCGTAAGGCCTGACATTTTACACTGTCTACATCAAATGTCAGCTGATAGCTTCAAAACAAATAATTAGGTTGATTACAAAAATGGAAAAGGAAAAATAATTTCAACAATTGTAATCAGCAAGATTCTTATTTATAACCAAAAACATAATTCAAAGAAAAGTCTATCTTTAAAACAAAATGTTCCTTATAAGGGAAAAATACACTACATCAACGGGTTTCCTTCAATAATTCTATCACACTTCAATGGCTAAAATAATCCATAGCTAAGTCAATCTAAATAAGAAACTTTCCATCTTTAAGCCTCAGTCAGATATCTCTTTATCATCCATCAGTGTCCATCAGTGTCTCATAACCTACTATCCATAAATCACTGTTTATCAGATACCTACCAGTATACAGTTACTCTTCATTTATATAACAAATTCAATAATCAGATATCCACCAATTCTCAGTCACTCTTCATCAGATACCAACCACAACAAAGCTTCTCAATCAGATATCCAACATCTCTTAGTCCCTCCTAGTCAGACATCTATCATACATAGTCACTTTGATACAGATACCTCCCATACACTTTAAACCGATATCGATCATCTCTCAGTCACTTTTAATCATCTACCATGGAATAGTCACTTAGTTGGATATCAACCCATAAAACTGTCATTTTTAAGCAGATATCAATCATTTCTAAGTCAATCTTAATCAGATATCCACCAATTCTCAGTCACTCTTAGTCAGTCATCTACCATACATAGTCACTTTCAGTCAGATATCTACAGTCACACAGTCACTCTTTTACAGATATCAATTATCTGTCAGTCATTTCAAACAGATATCAACCAATTCTCAGTCACTCTTTGTCAAATATCTACCATACATAGTCATTTTAAACAGATATTGATTATCCTTCAGTCATTTTAAACAGATATCCATCGATTCTCATTCAATCTTAGTCAGATATCTCTTAAACATAGTAACTCTTATACAGATATCCACCATAAAAAGACACTCTAAAACCAATATCAATCATCTTTCAGTCACTTTTTAATCAGATATCCCCTAATTCAATTAGATACTCACCAGCCCTCTGTCACAGTGATACCTAAGTTGACTCTTTACTCACCAGCCCTCTGTCACAGTGATACCTAAGTTGACTCTTTACTCACCAGCCCTCTGTGACTGTGATATCCAGGTTGACAGAGTCACTTTTCACGTGGACAAGGCAGTCTTGTATCATTGTATTCAGTAACAACACAGTGAGATTAGAGATTTTCAGTCCTAAAAACTTAAAAGAGAACCAGAATTTTATTTAACGGAGAGGTCATGACTTCATTACTCAATGGCACGTGTATTGCAAAGATGATAAAAATATATGCTTTCTTTTTCTGGCCAGATAGCAAATTTTGATAAAGTACTAGTAAAGTTTCTTTTTCTAAATTAAAAATAGAGATGTGATGTGGCACAAAGAAAATATGGCAAAAATAACCCTATTAATTAACAATATGTATTTGGCCATTTATTTCCAAAGAAATCTTTGTCTGGGCATACTTATAGTGTGTATAAGAATTAAAATGGCAATCCAAACAAATTGTGGTGTGGTGTACCATGGAATTACGACCCCATGGGTAAAAAGTAAGCTTAAAGTACATGTACATGAAGTTAGATAAAAATTACTTAAATGAGCATTGTGGGAGAAACAAGTAGTACAACGGAGAAACAATGTGATTCAAGATCAAATGGAACAAAAGAGCAAATTAAATTCACAGACTATCTTGTAAGAAAACTTAGTTTTTTTTTCAATGAAAATTTTGCCTCTTTATAAATCAGTAGCAATTACTTTGGGGCAAATGTAACTATTTCATGTAAGACAATGTTTCTTAAGGATATTACCTGACTATAGCAAGCTGGTTTGGTTACAGACAATGTTTCTTAAGGATATTACCTGACTATAGTAAGCTAGTTTGGTTACAGACAATGTTTCTTAAAGACATTACCTGACTATAGTAAGCTAGTTTAGGACATTACCTGACTATAGTAAGCTAGTTTAGGACATTACCTGACTATAGTAAGCTAGTTTAGGACATTACCTGACTAGAGTAAGCTAGTTTAGGACATTACCTGACTATAGTAAGCTAGTTTGGTTACAGACAATGTTTCTTAAGGACATTACCTGACTATAGTAAGCTAGTTTAGGACATTACCTGACTATAGTAAGCTAGTTTGGTGATGACAGACTTCCTCTCCTGAGATCGAGGAGTGGATCCTTGTTCTTCGTGGTGGACATCAGCCTGTACTCTTATGTCCTCTATACATATCACTAGGGGTTTCCTGATTGGATAATGAGTTTTGTAATATTACACTTATTAAACTGACAGTTATAAACAAATAAATTCAGGAATTTCACAGCTCTATTCTACGAAAAAGCTTTTGATGAATACAAAGACACACTCTAAACTGAAATTTTTTCTTCATTTTCAAACTTAGTTTTATTTTTGTATATGTCAAGGACACAAAAGTACTATGGTGGAACTTTGGTATCTCAACTCGGATATCTCGAATACCATGGATTTGTCGCAGTGACGCATAAGTCCCAACCACAAATTCTTTAAGTATTTTACCCTCAATATCTCGAATCCCCGGATATTTCGAAGTTTTTTCTCAGCCCCATTAGAATTGAGATAACAAAGTTTGACTGTATTTAAAAAAGTTTTGGTTTTATGAGTCTGATATCTTACTAAGTTTCTGTTAAAATTTTGATACACTTTAACTTACTTCACCTCTTGGTTAAAAAACACACTGGACAGCCAGGCTCTTTCTATCTCCTGTTTCAAGAAAATGTATGCTTGAGAGAATTATAGAGCAAAAGTCATTCTATATATAGCTCATTTTTTTACTTTGACCTTAGTAATGCCCTTGACCTAAAATAATGCTATAACCCTATGAAATAGTAAGTCCCTATCATATAGTTTAAAATTAATGCAATAAATCAAATACTCTATGTCTTAAAGCTCTTCAGATGGTACTGTGGCAATTAGCTGCAGATCTGTAACGCTATGATTTCATTTATTTGTCTTTGACCATAACACTTGACCTAAAATAATGCTATAACCCGAAATAAAGCAAAAAAAGGTGCAAGCTCTTTTACTGTGGCGGCGCAATATTTGTCTTTTTTTGTGCATTTTTGGGGAGAATTTCTCCACTTTCCAGCATCTGTCAATTAACTACCTTTCACTCCCTAATTCTAGGCACATTATTTAACTAATCTGTATAGTTTATCCATCTCCCAATCCTTTATAGTCGTCTCTACAAGTGATAAACTCGCTTGATTAAAATTATTTGTTAGATTGCTGAAAATTTACTTCAAGAGAGTTTATTGCCTGTAGAGACAAAAATAAATGGTTGGGAGGTGGATAAAATATACATATTGGCTACAGGATGTGTCTAGAATTAGGGAGTGAAAGGTAGTTGATTGACCAATGCTAGAAAGTGGAGAAATCCTCCCAAAAAGTGCGCAAAAAATATTGCGCCATAAATTACACATTTTTTGCATTACGGGATCTGTAGCATTATGGTCAAAGACAAATACATCTATATAAAGCAATAGAGATCTGCAGCTACATGGCAATAGTCTTGAGTTTTCAAATTCTGCGAAAGAGTTTAACTTCATAAGCAAATTTATTTTGAGACATAGACCATAAAAATTCCCACTGCTATAACATGTGAGGTATTGAGGGTACAGATATTTGCACCAACTCACCACAGAGAGGCCTTTTTTTATGGTTATCTGGACTTTTTTACAGCTGAAGAGGCCCACACTTCCTATCTTCACAAGGACCCCTCCATATCGCTGGAGCAGCCACTGAGCCAACCAAGCTAACAATCTGTAACAATAATACAGAATTCAAATTGCAAACAACTAACAACACATACAGTAACAAGAGGCCCATACGCCACAACATTCATCTGAGAAACCATGGTCTTTCTTGATCTTCATCAGCAGATTCTTTATCTTAATTTATAAACCCAAGGATTCTCCATGCCAAGTTTGGTTGAAATTTGCCCAGTTATTCTGGGGAAGATGAAAATGCATAAAATTTACGTGGATGACGACAATGGCAACAACATTGATGACAAACAATGAACAGATTTTGATTCAGTAAAGTTCAGCTCAGGTAATGTCTAGTGCAAGGATACGAACAATAAAAGACATACAGTGAAATCACAAATTTTCGTGGGGGTTTAAATTTCGTTGTTTTCGAGGTATGTAGAGACCCACGAATTCATGTCCACCACAAAATGTAAAATGTTACATACATAACTACTCAACAATTTTTCATCCATGAATTCAAATCCCCACGAACCAAGAGTTTTTACTCGAACCACGAAATTTTGACCCCACGAAAATATGTGATTTTACAGTATACAGTAAAACATGGCTACACATGTGCAATATCCCAATGCATGAATAAGAATGATTTTTTTTTTCAAATACATATAATTCATCATAACAGACAAGTTTGTAATATTTCATTCATTATAAGCATGTTTTCTGTAAACATGTTTTATTTTATACACATATTTTCTAATGTAGTATTTGTGGGTTATGTACTCTTTAACATGGTCATTAAAAAGCACTACAAATCTTAACATGTATATACATGTAAATTCCATGAATATCTTTAAAATTTTGGAGAACTTCTAAGCAATGGCACTAAAATAATTACTGCTATGAAGCAGCATTCTTTTGTCAACCATATACATTGTTCACCCTTTCACATCCATTAAACTTCTACTATACTGTATGTTTTGCATGTATTATGTAAATAAGTGCAATTACAGTAAATTTTGTCTAATCTCAAATACCACTGGTTCTATGGAAATCTAGTGGATAAGAAACCATTCTGGATTAAACATTTTATACATATGAATGAACATTGAAAAGGATTTTTTTAAGTAACAGGATTTTTTTAAGATTTCATTGTAGGCAAGATTTTGGAAGTTTTACTGTACTTGTTTTGTTAATGTATTTGATATATTTTCTTGTCAACAGATCTATTTTAACTCTCTTTTTAACATCATTTTATTATTTTTTAAAATTTTATTTATTCATTTTTTTTTTTTTGGCATCAAACTCTTGCTGCTTTTGACATGTTTAAATATACAGAAGTTTGTATTTAGAAATAATCTAAATTGGATTACAATTTCAAAGCTTAACTTAACAAAAGGTTATATTTTACAAGAGTTAGTAACTGTAGTCACAAAAAAAAAAACAGAAAGAAATAAGATCAAAGATATTTAAATTAAGTTGCATGTGTGCAACAGTTATGAACTATCTTCTTTGATATCAAATAGATTGAATGTATCTTTGAATAGACACTCTATGAAACACATATTATAAAAGCCATAAAATCTTTTAAAGTTTTGCACTTATGAACAAGTGAAGAAATATGTCTCCAACGAAATTGCTTTAGAAGATGCTACAGTTATTAAGAGTTATTTTTAAAGGTATAATCCTCAGACATTCTATTCATGAAATAAATGTGTAATGAGTAATATATAAACGGTCGACACATGCATTTCCATTCATTTTCTGGTTTACTGGCATTCAAACCAACCAACCATAAAGGCAGCGTCCCCCGATCGTTAATCATGCCCTTTACATTCACTTACATCTCAAACCATTGTACATCAAAAGACCTAACAGACACTTTTTTAATGCAAGAATTAATGACTGCCTACATGATTGATCACTGATGGGATAGATTGTATTGAGAATATTGTGAACTGCTTTTCTGCTGTATAACATCACTGCAATAGGCTGCTACATTTTTAATACTATTGATCCCATCAGTGAGACTATTAGCTAAAAGCTTGTACGAGAGAAATATGTTGGTATTGGACAAACTCATATTAATCCCTAATTTGAAAACTAATAATATACGTGATATTTCAATCAATAACATGTCTAATGTTGCAGTATACCAAAATATGTTTATTAAAAATTAGCAGGGGAAAAAAATTAAAAGTTGTAACACAAGACCCTTCTTATTCCAATAAAACCTATCTATGGTATTACAGCCTGGTTAAAAACTAATATTACATGGTGGGTGGAATACTTATTTTCCATACTTTGCTTCAGCGTCTTAATAGCACGACTTTGAAGATAGTCCAGCTATTTATGCCTGTTGCTAAAAGCTGTGAATTTATGTATCTGTCTAATCAATAGATATGTACTGTTAATCAACGGTTTAAGAACCTGCAATACACCAGACTAAAACTCGTGTTATTCTGTAATATACTGGAGACCACAAAGCTATCTCGCCTTAGTACTTACAGCCTCTGCTGATTAAAATAACCCCGTCATCTGACACTGTACGTCTAGATTTTTATTTATATGTGGTTTCCATGATGTGAAACAGATGGGGATTAAAGATCTGCTTTAGAGGACATTTGTGTGCAGTGTAAACTAGATGCTCATATGTTATACTGAAATGAAAGAACATATACAGTGTAGCACTCTGAGTGTGCTGGCCTTAGATTTGATACAGGAACCACTGCACCACTTGGCCATATATACACATATATAGTAATTTCAGAATGTATGGAAACATCAAGTAAAATTGGTAGATTTTTTGCATCATTGTCATTCATTACTGGGTATTTCTCTGAAGAATATGAGACATATTGCTCACTGACCAGTTACTACAGCAGACAGAGTTTTTCGTTTTGTTTTTAAATCTGTCATAGCTAGCTCCTGTCTTAAAAAATCCATAAAAATGGATTAAGTCATAATCAATTTTGAACTTCAATGGGGAAAAAATGGGGCAATCATGGTTATCAATTATTAAACTAGACAAATACAGAAAAAAACACTGTAATCATGGTAATGCAAACAGTTATGTCTTTATTTTAAAGTGCAGTAAATGCAAACAGCAATCAGTTATATTGTTTTCTTATGTAAATGTTCAGTGTTCACTTTCAGTTATTAGTATTTTGACAATATGTATATTAGTTTATAAATTATGTAAGCATTTTTTTACTCAAACTCAGCAAAATATGTTTTTAAATTCCACTCATGTTTTGTATTTGTTTGACATTTCAAATGCTTCACAGTTTATCTCAATCATTATCAGTATGTATGTACATATATCATCATTATCTGGAGAGATCACTTTTATTCTGATCTCATAGCATCTTCCTGATAGCTTAATAACAAGTACCCTCTCTCTCTCTCTCTCTCTCTCTCTACCAGGCATGAAAAAGTCTAAAACAATATTCCATTACATAATGACAGGCTGAAGCAGCTATCTACCAAATCCTGGTCATGGCAGCCCAAGAAATCAATACCAGCTAAATTCATTTAATAAATCACCCGGTTCTAGCAACAAATGACTTGATTTTTAAAATCTTGCCTATCCGCGGTGACAAGAGATATGAAGAATAATGACTGCGGCAGACAGCATTGATTTTCTTAATACGCAGGTGTTTTTCTTTATACCTGGAATACGCTGAGTATCTTATGTAACCTTCCAATCAAACGAGTGTTATTTACATCATTAATTCCATAATCTTTAATACCTGGTAATACCTTATAAAACTTCAGCATCATTGAGTTGTTCTTCATTATATAAACATATTCCACATTTCTACCTGTTATTTTTTCTTATATGCATTGCCTTGTGTTTATATAACTAGTAGTATTTGAAATTCTCAGTGAAATTTTTACATATTTAAAGATGTTGCCAAGCGAGAGCCCCGAGTGAAGGTTGAAATCAATGTGATTTGTAAATAGATATACACAGTGACGATATGTTAGTTGATGCAAAATCTACTTAAAATGTAATACTGCCACTTTTTAATGCTAGTATTTGCATTACTATTGATCTAAATTCATAGAAATTGAGTAAGTAAATGAAAAAGGAAGTATTATAGTTATTGAGGAAAAGAGAAAGAGATATACAATTGATTCAACAAAAAAAAAAATGATTTTCTAAAAATTTTCTCTGAAAATTAAAATTTTGTGTTAACAGATGCACTGACAAATTCACTACCATAAACATTTGTCTTCATATTCTGTACCTAACTGACTGTAATCTCACTTATAATTATCAGCACAAATTTTTTTTTTTAATTTACCAGAATAATTTCCCCTGGCATATCAGTCAATTTTCAAATATGTCTCAAATGTTTTAGATTTGAAGATTCATATCAAAAATGTCCATAAGAATGCAAGATTTAATTTTCTCTGTTTTCCCTAAATGGTTCACAAATACATGTAAAATAGGAGGAAAGAGAAGTTTGAAACAAAGTTGACTTTTGTGAAGAAACACAACAAAGGGGGTTAATGACAACGACTCATTAATAAGCTACAATGATTACAGTTCAATAAACATATTTAAATGTTTTTAGGTCAGTAGATTTGCTTACCAGTAAAGTACAATGTATATGTATTTGATTTTAAAACTCTACATGCATCATGTTTACATTTCCCATTCCACAAATTTTATGAAATGATGCTGCCCCAGACTCTGTGAAATCTAATATTGACATTATCTTAAAGAGAATTTTTTGTGTATTGTTACCTTGGTTATTAATAGTCTGTGTCAGGCAACATACTACATTAATTTTTTGGAGATTCTTGTACTAATTTTCGACAAGCGGCTCATGGGTTTCAACACTCACTTACATTCCTTTACTCCTGCAGACATTCAGCAGATTTTAAAAGATTTTTATATTCTCTTGAAAATTCTTACCCTGCCCCATATTGTGCCTAATACCAAATCTAAAGAGTCTTAAGCCACACATCTGAGGATGCTACTACATCTACATGACTAACATGGCCTTCCACTTAAGCAGGAGATAATTCTTTTCCTGTTGTAGT